CGTGATCTCCTCCACCTACGCTCTAGCCATCTCCTGGCCTGCTTCATCGCCCGCAATTCAGATGTATACCAAGGGGAAGAGTGGGCTCTGCCTGGTGGGAGAGGACGCTTAGGAGCGATCGTGTCAACAGCCCTAGTCATCTCCCCATTCCATAGTTTGACCAGAGCCTCGACAGGAGCACCAGTCTTGTCAGCCGGAAACTCCCCCAGGGCCTTCAGGAATCCATCCGGATCCATCCGGCTCCGGGGGCGGACCCACACAATTGGGTTCACACCCTTACAGAGGGAGAAGCCGCTCTCGAGCACAAACCTCATGCTTAGCTAATATCACGGATTTAGAAAGACTAGTCTCTTGCATTAATGTTATTCCTTTGTTAACAGTTTGTTCATGTAACGATAACTAAAGATACAATCTTATACAGGTTTAGACATTAAAATGGCTTAGAACTCCTAGCTTTCTCCAACCAGTCATGCTAACCTGGGGAATGCTGAGAATTGTTGGAATTTTGTCTGTTTAACTGTGTGTAGAATTGTGCTCAAAGTTTATGAGCTGTAAGGGCCAAACTAGATGCAGTGTTAAAAAACTGACTGCATTTAATATGCCTAGCTCTTTTCTGCTAGGTAATAATGTAGATATGGGAGGTGGGCAGGGAAGCAATTTTAAAATTGGGTCCGTGGTCTGTATGGTGATCAGAATAACCCTTTCCTTTATGCTGATGTTCTAATGAACCTCCCCACCTGTAGGTTAATAACAGGAACTTGGTAGGATAATTGTCATTGAGCCTGTGGAAGAAGAGGGGAGGGTCTTTGTCTCCATGTGCTTTACAGTACAATCCTAATCAGCTATTATTTAGAAGTAAAAAACTAGAAACACGTTATGGGTATTCATGTCTTAACCTACCTTTCAACAAGGTTTTTGACAGGCTAAGCAGGGTTTTTAAGAAGGGACATATATAGCTATGGAATCTGCCAATGTCCCTGTCAAAACACTGTTTTTTAAACCTTGTTTTTAAAGGAGGCCTGAGCTTTTATTTATTTATATCCTGCTATTTTTTTTTCCTTTCAAGGAGCTTAAGGCAGCTTACATAATTCTCCTTTTCCTCTCAATCTTATCCTCATAACAACAGCCCTGTGAGTTAGGATGGAATGAGAATCTGTGAGTGGCCTAAAATCACCCAGTTAGCTCCATGCCTGAGTGTGGACTAGAACTCAGTCCAGCACTCCTAACCATGACACCACACTTGACAGCTTTCAAAGCTCCATGCTTCTGTAAATGGGGCTCCTTGTACCAGTTCCTCTCACTTCCACCAAAGTAGCTTTAGGCAGGTTGTTACCCTTTTATTCTTTATCTTCTATCTACGATATGGAGATATTAATATCAGTCAATTCCATGGGACTGTTGGAAGGTTTATTGATATATATCATTCTTTGAATGCTGAAATTAACTATATGGTTATATGCACTTTTCTCCTAATTAGCAACACACAGTCACATATGTTTCACTTTGCTTCTATTCTGAGGACATTGTGGTTTGTTTAGCACCTATCATGCAATATCCCACATCTGGAAATTTGGTATTTCTGCCAACTATTGCTTATGTTTCTAGCATAATTGCTATGTGGAATATGGTTGCTGATTGTTGTTGTTTATTTTATTTCTACTACTGAGTAGCCAAAGTTCTCTCATAGGTATCTTTTTCTGTTATGTGTCATCAAATCATCTCTGACTTATTGCAGCCCTATGAATGAATGAATGCCATCCAAAATGTCCTATTTGTTACATACCTGCTCAGCCCTTGTAATTTCAAGGCTGTGGCTTTCTTTATGGAGTCAATCCATCTCATATTTGGTTGTCTTCTGTCTTCAACTTTCCTTAGCATTAATGTCTTCAGTGGGAATATCTCATGGTTATATGTTAGATGTTTCCTTTGATATAATGCAAGATGCTCCTCAGACCAAGTTAACCTAGTGTTAAAGCATGCTTGTTATAATTCTTTTTTTTAGGAAGCTATGCATTATCCTATCTGAACAGTAGGATAATTGAATATTTGGAGTATCTTCTTTCTTGATACTTGAGCATAATAACCCAACGTTTTGACCAGACACATAAGTATCTATCATATTGTTACCAAACAGGGGACATGTGAATATTGGGAGAGCCTCCAGTTCTCTTAAAAGTTTACAAGACCAAAGCACAATCCTTTGTAGATTTACTTGGAATTTGGTACCATTAGGATAGCATTCCCTGTAGTTATTTCAGATTACGATTATCTGTGGGTTTATTTTACAGAGGTCTTACAAACTGTGGAAGACAGCAGCATTCTGGATATACCTATTGAAGGTAAACAGGAAATGGGGAGTTCAAATTGTTTTGAATGTCATCAGGGAGGGAGGCAATTATTTGTTTTGTGGTTAAACATGCATTGTTTTTATTACTATAACACCTCCAGTCTCAGAGATTATGGTATGTTACATAGTGGTCCTTACTTCAAGTAAACGTCTTAAGTTTTTACTGTAAGAAAAATAACTTTGTTTTCAGATTTGTTTCAGTTATCATATATGCCTGGAGCATAAATATTTTAGTTGCATTAGTTATAGTAAGCTTATGTATAGTATAGTTATGTTGAAGATGTTATTTCATTACTGAAATAGATATAATACAAGCTACAGATATGCTGTGCTCATTAAGAGACATAGAGTAGGAATGATTTGCTAAGAGCAGAGGTCACATGTTGTTTAACATTAGCAGAGAGAGATATAGGATTTATTGGCATTTACATTTATTCACACTGATCCTATCCTGGAGTCCTTCCAAACAAAGATATTGTACCAGTGCCTTAGCTCATTTATAGACTTCTACAGGGGGTTATTTCCTCATGCCTTCCTGGTTTTCCCCACTGCCTCTTCCAGCTTTTCTTCTTCCTGCAGAACATCTATTAAGATAGATGCAGTAGTTGCACAGTGCCTTCCAAGTGGTAGTGCCTCAATTCTTCCAGGTGTATTAAATGTGAGGCCTTTTGCCATTCCTTTGCAGGAAGAAGCCCCTGCACACTATCCCAGCTGAAACTGGAAATCCCTTTTCCCTCAATTTATAATGGCTGGTTCATGGAAAGTGAGCTGGTCATTGAGTGAACTTTTGTCTTGTGAAGGGCATTTTTTTCACAAACAGCAAGATACTTCTCTTAATGTTACCTCCTCTTTGTTCTTTGTGGGAGCAACTTTCACCCTTTGTCCCCAAATGCTTGGTGCTTGGGAAAGGGTAAATTTACAACACCCATCTTTAAAAGGATGTTTAGCTCTTGTAAGTCAATTTTCCTTGAAAAAGGGCAGGGTGAAGCAGAAACAGAAGTATCTTGCTGGAAAGGGGGCACTACTCCTAAAATAGGACGCCTTCCCAGCAAAAGATCCTTTGCACTCTTGTTTTCAGTGTGTGACTAACTTTCTGCTAGTTGAGATCAAGATGGGGTAGGGGGAGGGATTTCCAGCTTCAGCTGGGACAATTTGCAGTGGTTGCATGCTGCAAGGGGGCAGTGGACATCCCTCTGCACATTTTCCCAGCTAAGGATAAAACTTGCCAGTGTTGCGCTTCAGAGAACAAGCCCTGTTTGCTCAATGGGACAACTCAGAAATTTTTTTTGACCAATTTGTGGGTACAAGAGATTAAAAATAGTGGGTAGGCATGGGTAGCCCCTGCAAGATGTCACAGGGCATTTTGAAGGGACAGCACATGCCTGCCCCAAAGCAATAGTGAAAGCTGGCTGCCTTTCATCATGGGAAGGTTGATTAAAGAGTCAGTTGAAATTGAATCTTTACTGGTTGTCAAAGAGAGGTTATAAAGAGGTGGGAAGGAGTACAGGAGCTGCATTGTCTGTTGGGCTCATTACAGGTACTTTACAAAAGGACCAACATTCCATGCCATATTGTTGGGCGAGTTGTTCTGTCATGCAAACAGTGGCTTTGAATTGAGACTTGTATGTTATTCTAAAGATTTAAATTTGTCTGAGAACATACGTCATCTGGAATTTGGGTGAAGAGATAGAAGTGTGTATAATAATTCAGATATGATTATTTTCTCATATTTTATGGTGATTCTATAATTAAACTGTCAGCAAGTTCTGAATAAACCTTTTTGTTATTGTCTTGTCTTGTCTTGTCTTGATTGATCAATTGAATCCCATTGGAATCAATCAATTGAATCCCATTGGATTCTCTAAGTGGTTCACAAACATTACCAGTTGCTTTTGGTCATTTAGTTTTACTTGGGCAAGATATTTTCTTACAATACAATCTCATGTTGAATTTGGTGTGGCTAATTTAGGCATGATTTGTTGAAGATTGGGCTGTTGGTTTACATCAGCTTTGCCTTAATGTAGTCTTTAACAAGTCTTGCTTCTCAGACTAAGACATTGAAAAACGGTGACTTATCTGTTCAAAATCGATGCATTAACTAGCAATTAATGATAAATAATGTTGTCTGTTAGTGACAGTGTACACTTTCCTTCCATGTTCTCATCTTGGCTGGAAAAAGAGGACTTTGTGATTGAGGGGAAAATGCTTTTTCAACCATTTAGGTCACTTTTTAGAATTCTGTTAATGTTAATTGGGTTCTTATAAAACCACGAATTTGAAATGAGATATGCATATTTAACTTTACTGAAGTCACTCTGTACTTGATTAGAGAGGAGCTGTGTGGCTTGGCAAGGAATTGGCAAAGGTTAACACTTTCTGGAGGTCTGGGCAAATGGGAATTGGAAGCACTGGAAGAGTACATGCAGTTTGAAGTAGAATAACCTGAAAGTTCCACTGATATTCTTTATGTGAACTTAAATAAGTGGAAATAATCTTGGCTCAAACAAGTTTCATTCAATTGGCATGTGAAATCTTGTGGATTTGTTTCCAAGAAAATGATTTGCCAGCTTCCTGTGAGCCATCTGTACTCTTTTTAACAAAGCTAAGCAGTACTCACTAAGTATGTTTTTCCATGAGTTTATTTTTCTGTGGAACAGATGGAACAAGGTCATTAAGCTGTAATAATGAGCCAAGAAAGTAAGTCTCAGTTGGTTCTGAGGAACTACAACAGGTACGATAAGAAATCTTGAGCAGTAGGTTGTGGTTTCTGAATTATACTTTTTGCATATGTCATGCTTTGACACATGGAGTAGAGAACTTGTGTAGGTGATTAATTATCCAATTATATCTAGGAGAAAAGCAATGTTGCTCTCATCAAAAGATCATTATATGAGGGATTGCCGACAGCAGAACTTAGCTTGCTGGTGATTTAACCAAGCAGATATTTCTTCCTTGCTTGATTTTTCTTCCTTATATGTTACAAGTATGTTACTATTTAAACTCATTTCTATTAAATCATGTACATTTATTATGTATACTTAAGGTAAAGGGGAAGAATACAGTGGTCATGCCTTCTTCTTTCATGTAAATATTCTGTAGTACCAGAAAGACCAGAGTGAGTAAGAAGGAGGATTACATACTCCAAATGCTCTATATAATGGTAGCAATATTAATTGCCAAATTTATTTAAGCATACGAGAAATGTGTTGTGAGTAAATTTCTCTCCCCTCCGCCCTTGTGCTCAGTTTTGGTATTGTTGGTAATGGAGCTGAAGTTGGAGCAGTACCTGCACTATCTGTTAGATGAATGTCAGAAGGAGGTGAGTAGATTATTGACCTGCTCCTTCACATGTATTCTCACTTGAAATTGAAAATGTGGGATGTGGTGGGGAATCGAAGGAAGTTAGGAGAAGTTTTCTGAAATTCATTTCTTGTGCTACTTCTAAATGATTGTTTGCACTCTATTGGAGGATTTTTTGTGAGGCCGTTCTCCATGTAATATGATGCTTCTTACCAACTGAAGCTAATTAAAAGATTCAGTTCTTTGTTTTTTCTTCTGAATCCCTAACTATATATTGCAACAGAATGACAAACTATTATGCATCAGGGACAAATAGGTGATGAAATAAAATGGTTTGGTATTAAACCATTCATTTATGGACAAGTGAACACATGAATGTAATTCTCACAATTTGTCTTCACACCTTGTATCTAGACTTATTTGGAGAAGTATACTGTATGATCTTCAGCTTCACAGATAAATTTTCCCTGCCATTTACAAGGATTATGGAGCCCAAGAAAGTGCTGCCATGAGTGTGTTTTAGGCCCTCTCAATCACAAAAATTTCAGTGGGAATGTATCTGAACTGAAGCACTTCCACAAATGAGCCCCTGTGCATGGAACCCTTCAACAGAGTATGCGGCTACGTTCACATGTATACATTGACTGTAATTAGAAGCATGTGTTCATGTGAGGAACTTGTACTAGCCTAGTGGAATTTCTTTGAACAGTTGGCTTCATGACCATAATGAAAACTGCTTTTGAAACTTCTTATAATTTGTCACATGGTGATGGGTTGCTCCTTGCAAAAATAAATAAATAAATAAATAAATAGCTTGGAGCCTTAAAATTGTGGAACTGCTTGGAATCCTGACCATGTAAGTTTCAGTGAGAATGTATCTATGAAATGCTTAAGAAAACCATTTAAAAATACATTTCTCCATGCCATTATATTTTGATAAAGAGAATTGTATGGATGCCGTTTGCATATGTGAACAGACCTTTGCACATATTTAGAAGCCTGGTAGCAAAGAGTTCATTCCAATGCTTCCTGCCCTTGATGCACATAAGCCCCCAAACTCAGAGGTTTCTATGCATCCAGTGCACAGAACATGGTCTGATGGCAGTGATCTCTGCCATACCTTGCCTGATGTATTTTCTCTGGATGGCCACTTTCAGCCATCTAGATTTAGTGCCATGGAGGAAAGGGGGAGGATGCAAAAAGAGTCAGCAAAAGTCATCAGCCCCAGCTTCCTCATTTCCATACACCCCTGGAGAGCCATTTGGTATGCTTTTTTTCACACCAGCTCTGAGGAGGGTGGAGGTTGGCCTTTAGAGTCCAAGGTTGCAAGACCTCTAAGGTGAGCTTCTGAATAATCCTATGCTCCCCTGGACAAATTTGGGAAGCCATAAGATTTTGCCCTTAGTGGTTCAGAGAAAGAATACTTTTGAATTGTGAATAGGGATAATCTACTGAATTGCCTAGATTTCTCATTTTAGGCTGCCTCTCTCCCCCCTCCCCTCTCTCTCGTTCACTCCATCCCTCAAATAGTTATGCAAGGTAGCCTCCACAAGGGGCAGCTTACCCATGTTTGTTCTTCTTGGAAAGCTGGCAGATGTTATCCCAAAGTTTGCAGATATATTGATGACTGAGCACAGTAAGTAGTGCAAATGTATCATAACTATATACTGCACATTGCTTTATTTAAAAATCTCCATTCCTGCATACATTTACTGGACTGATGAAATGCCAAAGCAACATTGCTAAACTGTAGCATGCACTAGCACTGTAAACACAAATGATAAAGCACAACTGACCTTTCAATTCCTCCTACTTCTCCCACAATTACAATCTTCTATATTGCTATAGGACATCCGATTGTGTTATAGTGTATATTACTGTTATGTGCTGTCATGTCATCTGTGACTTATGGCAACCCTGTGAATGAAAGCCCTTCAAAATGTCCTTTCTATGACAGTATGTGAAACTAAGATACTTTCAGCATGTGGATGCACCTGAGGAATAATTGCATGTTATTTGAAATGTCATGTGGGGGGAGAGAATGTTCCTTTGCTTTTCTTAAATGGTGCTCCTGGTGACCACACTGTAAGGCAGTTTTCTTAAAATTATTACTGTCTTCTCCTCATAATTGTCTTTTCTGTTCTCTCTGCATGTAACATGATGGAGCATCTGGTTGCAGGTTTGATATACCCCAACGAGAGTATAAAGGCTGCTGTATGTTACCTTTATGGAAAGCTGTACTCTGCCCCCAGTACTGCAGAATGGCTTTCTGTGCATTTCGCAGAGAAACTGTGTGACCTGTTTCTGACTACTCTAAAGAATGCACAGACAAAGGAACTACAACTTAACTGTATGGGTAAGATGCAGTCAGACAAATACAAAGGGAGGGGTTTGTGGTACTGTTCCAAATGTTACCAGGAAGGTATTTTAGCCTGCAGTGCTTTTCTTCTGAATGTTGTGAAACTGGAATAGTAAATAGAAGCAGCCGTTATAAAATCCAGTGCACATCATATAATTGTAGGAATTGTATTTGCTTTAGAGTCTGAGTCAATATAAATAATTCAGCTATACTGAGTGAACACACATGCTCTGAGAATGTGTGGCCATTGGTGTCATCCTGCCAGATCATCTTTTAGGTAGAGATACATAGTAAAGTGGCTTTTTGTTGTCTTTCACAGAAAATGCAAAAAACTAACAAAAAACCCCCTTTCTCTTGTGAAAGTAGCCACTGTCTGATTCTTTAGATATCTGGACAACTTGGTATGATAACTGCAGACTATCATACAGTGAATGAATTGGCTAATAGCTAGGGACCATAATGCTTAGGAGCATGAGCTACGTGCTTAAGTCGCAGTGCATCCATGAATTTACTAAGTTCTTAAGCATGCTTTTGTCTCTGTCAGCTTCTGTCTGCATCTATAATATGTAAATAGAAATAATGGTCTAAATTATAGGGTTATTGTAAGGATTGCTGAGGAAATTGAATGAACCCTATTAAGAATGTTCAGAAATTAATGCTGTAATGATCAAAACTTTTGTCATCCCTTTGCTTATTACAGTTCATTCCCACTGCCCCATTTTGTTGCAGGTTTGCTAAAACAGCTGCTAAAATATGACAACTTTGTTGCGGTGCTTATGTGTAATTCAGGGAAAGGAGCAGATTCTGCAAGCCTAGAATTATATGAAGGAGACAGTTTATTACCTTTAATCTTGAAGAAGGTAATTGCTGCAGAGGGCTACCTATTTCCCTGTCCCTCTGAATAAAAGCCAATTCTTTGTTCAACCATTGTTTTAAACTGAGTTATTTATTCCTTGTATGTGTATCCCACCTTTTTTTCCTGCAGCGAACCCAAGATGGCTTACATTATCCTTCTTTCCATTTTATCCTCACTACAATTGTGTGAGTTAGGTTAGGATTGTTATGAGGTGCTGCTGCTGCTGATTATTGGATTATTTGGTTTTGCTGTATCTGCCCTAAAAAAGACTTAAAAGATATCTTATGCCAGAGGGGGGAAGTGCTCTGTATTACCTGTAAATGTACTGTGGGAAGAGTGTACAGTAGTTTTTTTGTCCTCTCTGAACATGGGGTCATTTTCATAGGGCCAATAGAGTGTATATTATGATTCCTCTGGCCATAGCATATGTGCTTGTTTGATGAGCACATAGTCATTCATCCTTTTGTGGCCATTCTAGTATTATACTATTCTAGAATGTTATTTATAAATAAGAACATTTTATTATTTTATTGCTGTTTTATTGTAATAAAATTTTTCTTTAAATAAAATCCCAGTTGCAAGTTTTATACCAAAGGATATTGGTATTTTAAAATATTGTTCTTGTTTACATTCAGTAGACACGCTTTTCTAAAACTAGCTGTAGTATAACTATCTTTTGATACCAATTCTGATGTTCTCCACAGTTGTTATTGTCAAGAGATGAGCTATTGCAGGTACAAAGTGCTCAGTGTATGGCTGCTGTATTGGTGCATTCGCCAACAAAATATGCCTCTGCCTTTATTCATGCAGATATTCCAGGTAATGATAATAATGAAGTAAACTATATGGTATAAATATAAACAGAATCTTATAGTTAACATTCTATGCCTTGGAACCATATTCACTTGCTCAAGCACACTATGATTCAAAGTTACTGCAAGGAATGAGGTCGTTACTCCAAAGTAACAACCTAATTCCTTGGCATACTTGCCCATAAAGATGTCAAAGTACATTTAATACTAGCCAGAACAAACAAACTATTCTGAAGCCAATTCTAGCAGCTTTGCAGTAGCACAGTAAATGTAGGTTGAGTTGTGAGATGGGAGTATGATGAAGCAGTTACACAGTTGCTTCATCAAACACTAAACTGTGTATAAGCCAACTGACAACTTTCATTCCAAAAAGGCTACAGTAATAGATCTTGTGATGTGGTGACTAGGACTTGTAATGGAGGAGCTGTTTCTGTTTAAAAAAATAACTTTAGGAAAGCATTTTCTGCTACTCTCCTTAATGAGGAAGAGACTTGCCCTCCAGTTTTTTGTTCAGTAGAAATAGTGGCACTTTCCTTAGTTTTATCACAGGATGCCATAGACTTTTTTTTGTAATGGGGTCCATACACAGAAAGTTAATATATGTAGTCTGTATCTGTCACCCATTACTTGACTGAAGAGCATTAGGACATTTATAATACTTTAACTGCATAAAGTTATTTTAGGGGCATGTAGAAACAGTATTTTCTTTTCTAGGCATAGGTTCTAGGCATAGGTTCCAGGTTCTTCCTTCTAGAACACATGCCCTGCCATTAACAGCTTTAGCGTATACTTTCTCTGATATGAGGAGAGATCCTAACCATAGTAAATTCCCCCAGTGGTCCAGTTGATCTAGAACGTTGCCTTAGGCTCATTGCCAAAAGACTCTTCCTCAGTTCTTCATTGCCTTTTCAAGTAGGACAGAATGTATGTTGCCTTTGCTTAAATAGCATCACTGTATTTACTCCTCTTCAACTTTGGCTTAGTTCGTACTTAAAACAAAATCCTTTCCTTGCTTTCCTGCTCTTTGATTCCCCTTTTCCTAGAAACACAAAGAATATGTTCTGAATGTGTGATATGAGAAACTGACATTATTTACATATTTGTTTATTTCATTTTTATACTGCCTAGAGGCTATCTGGGCAGTTAATGAAAGTTAAAAGTTCAAAAGACATACACAGTAAAATTAATTTAAAAGAACAAAATTATAATAGCACTTGCAATTGCTGTTATTCAACATAGAAGTATAGCAAGTGATACAGAATAAAATGGAATATAGAAAAGCAAAATTAAATTGCTAAAATGCTGAGGAAATAAAAGGTCTTCACCTGACACCAGAAAGAATATGAAGTGGGTGCCAGGTGTACCCTTTTGGAGAGTTTATTCCAAAATCAGGGTGCCACAACCAAAAAGGCCCTTTACCTGGTAGCCACCTGCCTCATTTCCTTTGGAAGGGTCTCCCAGAGGAGATGACCTCAGGGTCCTATAGGTACATATGGAAGAAGGTGATCTTTAAGTTTCTTTCAATGAGGACAGGGAATATGTTTCTGAGAAGACTTTTAAACCCCCTTTTTCTATTTAAAAGTTTTTTAAAACTTAAACCAACCTCTCCTGATGATGCTACAAGCTATGGTGGTGGAGATGGGCGTCTATGTTATATATGTCTTTTTCCTTCTTTGTGGTTATAGCTATAGGAGTGTGGGACTGGGGGAGTGGCAGAACTGTAAGAATAGCCTCTTCTTCTCCAGGACTGTGGGTCAAATTATGATCTCAGGCCCTACTCTGAATGCTCCTCCATAGTGAGAGTGAGCTTTTTTGGAGTAGTCCACAACATGTGGAGTACCTTTCCTAAATAGAGTAATATGCTGCCTACTTTGTTGAACTTTGAGCATCACATGATGGGCTTTTTATTCTTTCAGGCCTTTTGCTATTGCTTTTGCTCTTTTAAAGTTATTTTAAACTATTGTTGTTGCATTTGTGTTCATATTATGTTTTTATTATCTGTTTCCTTGTATTTGTGTTATGTATGTTGCCCTGAGAATTTTGACTATAGGGTAACTCAAATAATAGAATGATTGTGGTAATGATAATGTTTATTTGGAGTCCAACGATTACTTTGAACAGAAGAAAATGACACAAGGATAGCCAGTCACAGATCTTGAATGTGACATGTCTGTCCATTAGAAAGAGCTGTGTGGTTGCTTTTGGGTTTGGCAGCATTTTGAGGAGACAGTTGTTTTGATTTATTTTTGGCAGGAACTTTTGGCTCTTATTCTTTGAAACATCTATATTTTATCACTTACTTTGAACAGAAAGCTCTTTCTTTCTGAATTTAGTGGTGCTGCACTAAAATTTCATCAAACCTCTAAGATTGGTAGTTTCTAGGATTTTAAGTTAACACTATTTTGTGTCTTTCAATTCTTTTCTTCTTTTGGGAACAGCTGTGTTGAGTTCAGCTGATGTTAAAATGAATTATTTTTGTGCTTGCCTGCAGAGTTCCTGTTTGAGTGTCTCTCCTGCATGAGTGAAATTCTCATCTGGTCAATTTATTGCTGCCTGCTGCTCCTGACTGAAGAACCGTGTTTCTTTTCCAAATGCCACACTGTCTATGGTAAACTGCCACTTTCCATAGCCTGACAGAATTGCATTTTTGTTATTCAGTACTTGCACATGAGTTCCTTTCTCTGAAATTGCCATTCTTTGTTCATTCATAGAGAAGCCAGATGATGATGTGGCCAAATCATTGCACTCCAGCGTTTTTACTACTGACCTTATTTTCTTTTGCAAACCTGATTTGTTGGCAATGCTTTACAATAAAATGCACCCAAAATATGCTATTAAGGCTTTAATCGTTATGGTGCCTTATAGTCAATATCTTCCTATTTGCCTATTCAGCTTAGTTATTGTATCCTGTTCAGCATGACATACGGGGAGATTGGTAATGTTACCCATTAGACCGCTTTTTTCCAGTGGCATTGAAGGACTTTGATCACTGCTTTTATTTTCTTTTTTGTGGTGGTCTCATTTTTACAGGAAAATTGTTCTATTATCTGTAATAATAGCAATAATAATGCAGATTTTAAAAAGGAAGGAAGATGGTAAAAACAAATCATTACAGCTTCCTGTAGTATTATGGAGAACAGAAGCTGTTTACATTACTTTTTTACTCTAGCTTTCTTCCTTTTGCATGGAACCCAAGGCAGCTTACAGGGTTGGAAGGGTTTTCAGGAGGGAAATGGCAGCAGATATATGAGACCCAGTGGCAGGGTCCAGAAAGGAGGTATTATTTGCACCATCTTGCTCTCTGACAGTGAGAGCTACTCTGAAGGTAGAATTAGAAGCTTTAGTAAAAGGGAGGGACAGAATAATTTTCTGCTTTAGATTCAGCTCTTTACATGAGCAGATGCTTTTCCTTTAATGTTGGCAATAAGTCTTTTTAGAGTACAAACAGTTCTCTTATCTGCTATGTTTCAACAAATGAACTGCATTGCCCAGGAGAATCTTGAGTTTTAGAATTAGAGGGAAGGGATCGGTTCAGGACAAGCAGATTTTGGTCATAATGTTGTGTGCAGCCTGGGTGCTGAAAAAGCATAGCATGACTCAAAACATGGTGTACCCCTTGTGAGCTTCCACCTTTCACTCCCAAAGCACACAGTCTGGGTGTTGGTGAAAACTGGGTAAAAGATTTATTGAGGATTCAGAAAAATGTTCAGAATGGGAAAGGGGTTGGTCAGATTCTCAGTACACAAGCTGCTATTTAAAGTAGCAAATCAGTGGCAAAGCATAAAACAAAGGGAAAAATACAGTCTAGCTAACACAGCCCTTTGTAAGCTCCCTTCTTGGTTCTTTAAAGATCCAGAATGTCCATGTAGAAATAACTTTACTAAGGCTCAGTTGTTACAGTTCTGGTTCTTGCCTTAGGTCTTCCCCACTTTGTTTGGAGAAGAACTATACTGGGCACTGATATTGCAGAAACTTTGTGCAATCTTTCCTAATACTGGAAAAGAAAGACCCCCCCAACTCCCTTTTCCAGTGGAGTATATCTCCCCTGGTCTGTCTTCTCCTGCCTGGGTATTGGTTTCAGAAGCAACTCCTGTTTTTGTATGTTGACTGTCTGATAAGTAATGGCTCATTCCCAGCTTGGGAGACAATTTACTACTGAATAGATTGGCTAAGTGATGGTGTATTGAGATGTCAGTGTCAGGTGATCTGGCCTTTGACTTAAGCAGAGACCTGTAGCTGCTTGCAAAGTAGAGATTTCTGTCTCTTCAACCTGGGTCTGACTGAGTGGGCCACTCCAGGCCAAATAGAACAAAGGCATTATCTTTGTTAATGATGTCAGCCTTTGACTTTGTATCTGGAAGTGTAGAATGTAAATAGTCCAAAACTTCCCAGCTGTCTCTCCCTATACAAGGTTTTTCCAATTCATATAGGAACTCCCTCATGAGATTTTGCATGTTTTTTTTAATATGCACCTTTATTTTTAGGTATTGAACCTATTTTAAGGAGCTTGAAAGAAATCTTGACCTTTAATAATGTGGAACTGCACAAGCAGGGATTTCTTCTTTTCACTGAAATTTTGAAAAGGTAAGATTTCAACCATTCATGTTATTGCCTTGTCTTTAATTTGGAAAGTTAAAGAAGAGGATGCAGTTTCTTCGAAAATGTTTTGGGCATTAAAGTTTTATGTGAAAAAGATATTTCCAGATAATGTCTGTAATATACTGTGATGCACTTACCACCAATGTGTTGTTGATGCAACTTCATTGCTAACATTGTTTTCTCTTGGTTTGTAATTTGTGGAAGTTAGAGTTGGGATGAACCCTTTTGGAATCTGCCCCTTGAGCATCTGCAGAATTCCTGTCCTGCTTGGCCCAGTTCTGTAAAGTGAGTAAAACTGAGACGCTCACTCACAGCAAACACTTCCAGACACCTGGTTGCACAACCAGCAACCTTTCCCATCAGGTGCGACTGCCCAAAGAGTGGCTGCAGGACGTGGAAAAGGAATGCTGTGAGTGGGTGCACCACTAGGCACCATTCCTAGTGATCAACTTTCTTCCCCACCTGGCAGTGGTGGCAGCACCAGGCATGGAAGAGGAGCCCTGCAAGCAGATGCACCAGGTGCCATTCCCAGTGACTGACATTCTTCTGTGTCCAGTGCTGTTGCCAGCAGCAGCAATGAGCATGGAAGAGGGATTCTAATTGTGCAGCATGAGGGGCTCAGTTCCTGGTGTGCACCTGGGAAAACAGACCAGGGCTGCGGCAAAGCCAAACACAACCTGGAGAGCTGAACGCAGGGAATTGATTCCCACCCTCAAACGGATACCTCGCACATTCCTGGTAGAAGTGAGAGTTAATAGAATTAGTTTATGTAGTCACTCAAATGCTACCTTGGAAACTTTTGGGATGGTAAAGAGTGTAGCTCCAAACATTGTTTCTTCCTTTTAATTCATAAACTACTAGAGCTGAAATTGAAACATAGTTCATGGGGTTTTTATTATTGATATTGTTCTTAGGATTAAAGATACAGCATATGATGTTATTGTATCAGTGTATTAAGCTAATTACCATCTTAAGATACTGTAAGACTGTGTTTTTTGGATCAGATGCAGCCACATATCCATTTGCACCTGTTTCTTTAGAAACACTGTAGTGTTCAAAAATATGCAAGCTTTGACTTTGATACCAGAGTGCTGTACATAATATGAAATACCTAATTTTTGTTAAGGAATGTGTGGGCTATTTCACATACTATTTAGTGGCATATTCATTTCTCATCATAAACAACTATGTACATTCTAGACTAGATATGTATTTGGGTTGTAATCTTTACCAAAGCAAAACTTGAATACAGTAATGAAAATGCAGGGTTATAGATGGGCAGGACCTGGGCTGTTTTGGGGCTCCAGCTGGTGTCAAAACCAGAATGTCCACCCCAGTATTTGTGGGATCAGTCCCAGGCCCTGCTGGACCTCTCAGCCTCCTGATGAGCACTAGCTGAGAGCCCTGGTGGAAGAGTTATACAAAAGCAAGCTCTTCCCTCTAGAACTTGCCTCAGCAATGTCGGCTTTACTGTTTGCTGTAAAGACTGCTTCTTGCATGATCCAGATCCTGCCTTGCTGCCTCAACTGAGCAATGCAGATCTTCCTGGTAGCTGTGGTATGATTCATGCTTTGCCTGTCCCTTTCTGTATCAGGTCCTGCAGTGTCCCTGTGTTGCTGTGTTGCCTCAGCAACACAGGGAACTGTGTTCTGGTCCAGCTTCTATACCATGCCTGATCTGACTTCTGTCCTGCCTTGGTGTGTCCTGCCATACCATTTTCCAGCTTGCTTTGGCTCAGCTCCTGCAGCTTGCATGACTCTTGCCTTGCCTTCCTTTTGCTTGCCATGTTCTGTCTCACCCTGACATCTAACTTGCCACACCTTTGCTCCTGTGTCCTACTTGGTTATCCTGCCTCAAAGTACTTGCACCTCTGTTTGTCTTCCTGGTTCTCAACCCTTGGTTTGTTCATGACCATGTTTTTGGCTTGTCCTGATGTATACTTCTACTTCGTGATCTTGGCTTGTTCTGTGACTGTGACTTGGACTTTTGGATTGTGCTTGGTCTTGCCTTGGGTTCTGTTGCCCTGGTCCCGGCACACCAGTTTTGACTTCTGCTGTATATTGACATAGATACACAGATGCTTTCTAGATCATCACCATCATCATAATCTTTATTTATTTATTTATATCCTCTCTGTTCCCACTGATTGATGACCAAGTATGGCATATTTTAGCTTCTTATTAATAAACTATCTGTTATCAATAATATAACTTGAAGTTACAAAACAAAAACTACCTGAATGGTAACTTTGTTAAATAAAAGTGTACTGTTAAGATTTTAATTTCCGATACTGGTATACCAAAATTCATTTTTAATACAGTATAACAATCATGAGATTTCCTAAAATGGGCTATGCATTAAATATTTTAAATATTTATTATTTTTAGACAGCCAGTGGAAATTAAATTATTTGCAAGTATTGCTGTCTTTAAAGATGCCATTACTATTCTTTTGGAAGCTGTAAACTCACCTATTCTTGAAGTAGCAGCTGAAGCTGTGAATGCTGTGGCTGCAATTCTGAGGTAAGTGGGAAAAGATTTGGTGGGCTTTGAAACGAGCCCTTCTTTTCTACCTGGATGAAACATATAGATCTCTCTAGTCCCCTTAGTTCTGTTTCTAATTCTCTAACTTTCAGCATTTTTGGCACTTAAAAGATGTACATTCTAGGCAAATACCATGTGGCTTGTAGCCTGGGGATATGTTAAGCCCAAAAAAAGATGTTGTTCATTTAAAGTGCACAACTGCACCAGTCATGTGGAAAGAAGAAACATTATTTTTCTCTGTGTGAGAGATGTTTTTCAGAACACATGCATAGATGAAGGATAAAGAAATGTCACCCTATCCATGACTTGCCTCTTGCCAGCATTTTCCTCAAGTGCTTTTCTTCTCAGAAAACCTTTGATGCCACAAATACATGACATATAGCCTTCTTCAGAGATTCTCTCAATGCATTTTCTGTATGTAAGCAATTTCAGGGTACCAGTTTATTAAACATATTCAAATCCCTCACACAACAATACAGCCATCTGAGAGTAAGATTAAATTTTTCACATAAAATATAGGGCATACAGTGTTTTCTGTTTCCCTGAAATCACTCTTTTAGACAGGATCTATCTTTTCTTTCTTTACTATACAAATATTGGCATAGCAGTAATAAGTACAACTTTTATGCATGCATAAATTGAAACACATGATAAATTCATTGTCAGCCTGGCAAGGCTTCTAAACACAGCTGAAATAATATCAGTATCAATGTTAGTTTATTATCAAGCTTATAGGCTTGTTCTATAGGCAGTTAAAAATTGGGTAAGTTCTCTTTGAGAGAACTTCCATTGCTATGTCTTTAAAATCCTCTTTTAGAGGTTATCAAACATATTCAAATGGTTTTACTTCATTTATTTATGTCCCGTTAAGCCACATTCCTAAGGATACAGTTTTATTTTTAATTCACTTATGTCTAAATAATGTCACCTTTTACTGGAATAAATGACCATAAAAACATCTCAGAATCCCATGATACACTACAGGCATGCATGTGATATAAAAATTATTTCTCTGACTTGATCCTGTTTGCAAGTATATGTTCTTATCTTATAGCATTCCCGGTTTTGCTATCAACCTTATTGTTTTAATGGTCTTTTAAAAATTCTGTGAGGGTGATAAATCTAATGTGGGCATTGATCTCCTGGTGCACCAACTGCAAAACCTGGCACCTATTACCTGGCATCCTTTCTTTCCAGTAAAGGGTACCAGCAAGCAATCATCAGTCACTAGTGGCTTGTCATTTCTGGGAAGCTGCAGAAGTTAGAGGTATTTAGAGAGTGATCCTATGGCCCTCTAGATCAGGAGTCCTCAAACTTTTCCACCAGAGGGCCAGTGAAAGCTGCCAGTGCTGGGCATGGGCCAGAAAGGTGGTGCCGGCGGTGCGCACAGGCCGGTGTGGGGGTGGTCCGTGTGGGCATGCGCACTGAGGTGGCGGTGGGGCATGCAACGAGGTGAGGCATGGGCGGACATGCATGGTGAGGGGAGGGGAGGCGAGGTGGGGTGGGCACGTGCTGCGAGGTGGGCGCACGAGGCAGCGGCTTGCTTGTTCGCTTGGAAATCGTTTTCTCCGAGTGAGCAAACCGTGCGTGGGGTGAGGTGAGCAGCAGCATACGTGCATGTGGGCGTGGGCGCATGCGTGGTGGTCCAAATGGGCATGGCGGGTCGGATAAATGGGCATGGTGGGCCTGATCCGGCCCCCGGGCCTTAGTTTGAGGACCCATGCGCTAGATAGTGGTTCCCTAGACAAAGGATGCTCCAGATTCCCAGAGCCTCGGGGAGGATGCAAAAGGGAGAGGGGAGAAGACTGGGGTCATCACAATTTGCTACACCATCTTTTTGTCTGTCCTGTTCCAAAGTGCTGAACTTGATGGCCACCCTTGGATGCTTGCGCCCTTAACGATGGTTATACCAAGAAGCTGAGCTGCATCGCATTAGCTATTATATTTTAATATAGAATTCTCTTGAAGGCATTCAGTTACTGAATTTTCTAACTGAACAGTGTGAGTAAGCTTGTACAAATATAAAAAGAATTTATCTAATTTGCCACAAGTGACACTGGCTGGAGAAAAATCACTGGGAGAGAAAACCTTCAGTGAATAAAAATGAGCTTCTTTAAAAGCCCAGTAGTTAAGAGAATATAACCAGACTAGAGGCTATTTGCAAGTAAAATAAATTTGAGTGAATTAGTCAAATTACAACTGATAAACAAGGGATCAGATTTATGAGATAAAGGAACAATAAGAAATCAGAGGAAAGTAAATGTATACTGTATAAAATTGATGTTTGGAGAAAATATAAAATAAATGAAATTTATAACACGAAATAACTGAAATTAAAGCAGATAGTGAACTTGCTTTTATATATAAGATTTTTATACAAAACTAGCTGTTTTTAAAATCCTACATTTAGTTGTTTTTTCCTGTTATTCTACTAGTCCCAGTTAAAACTCACTAAGTTACTAGTTAGTTGCTCCGTCCCAGCTCCTGCCAACCTTGCAGTTCGGAAGCATGCAAATGCAAGTAGATAAAAAGGTTCCACTTCGGTGGGCAGGTAACAGCGTTCCGTGCACTTCGGTGTTTAGTCATGCCGGCCACATGACCACAGAGACTGTCTGCGGACAAATGCTGGCTCTCTCGGCTAGGAAATGGAGATGAGCACCACCCCTTAGAGTCAGACCTGACTGGACTTCACGTCAAGGGGAAACCTTTACCTTTACCTTTTTAAGTTACTAGTTATATAGCAGTTTAAAGTTCAAAGAAGAAAGATGTATAGCTTTCTATCCCAAGCAAAAGTGACAGACCCATATTGTCTTAAATGAATACCCAGTACAGTTCTAATACATAGTAGAATCCAAATAGAAAATTAATCCAGGTAAGAATTGAAGAGAATGTTTAAAAATAAAGTAGTGAAGGCTTAACGTCACCAGAAAATAAAATTAAAGGAATGGAAATATGACAGAGAAAGGAAGGAAAACCATAGGAAATCTAGATTTGTTCAAAGCTGTCTGCAAGCAAAAATCTATCCCAGAAAAAAGGTAGCTTTGTATTAAAATCAGAAGGAAATGGAAGGAGTAATATATCCCACTAGAAGTAATAAAGTTTAATTAAAGCTTTGTAAACATTATGTGAAAAGCTCAGGACAGAAAAACCTTATTCAGTATAAAATCATTGCAAACAAAAAGAATTAAATCTAAAATTACATTCCTTCTCTGCATGTTCTAGAGAACACAGCTTGTGTATGAAAATGGAGTTAGATGGAACTAACATAAGGTCTAGTGAAAAATGTGAGATTCTTCTCTGCTTTCCAAAAGCTTTCTCTTCCTGTTCTGTCTCCCCTAGCCCATAGTTCAAATCCTGGTGTGGACTAGCAGGATGGAAAACAGCCATACCACTTTTCTTTACTATCTAAAACAGCTTAAATTTTGCCTAGGAACAACTGGTGGAATCCTGCATTCTTATGCTACACTCTGGATGCAGAGTCACTGAAAGTATTCCACTTTGTACCTTCTCCATACAGGTTCATTGTGTTTTAGTTTGGCCAAGACCTGGTTACAACAGGCATTTGTCTGTCTGTTTGCTCCTTTCAGAAAATCTCTGCTCTCTCTGGCAACTGGAAAGAGTAATGCTCTTTGTCTACAAACTAACATGTTTTTCCATTCTGTTCCATAGCTCATATAAGCCTCTGTTCTTATACATTTGAATTCCTCAAAGTAAGCCAAGGCGTAATGTCAAATATTAATGTCAAATAATTCCTCTACTTGATGTGTAGTTTGACTAATTTTAAATTTGGATCTCACACCTGTTTGACCAAATTGATCCAGTGTTATGACTAATAAAATACTTCCTAAAATACAACCTATAGAAAATAAGTGGTAGGTGCCCACAGTGTTTAGTATCTGACATCCCCATGCTTGTTTGCTATTAATATTGGATCAGACCAATGTCTTTCTTTATGACTGGGGTAATTTCATGTTTAACCATTTTAAAGCATGATATTCTGGTTGCTTGCACTCTTTTCTTTGCTTAAAGATTTAATTAAGCTTAATTACATAGCTGTTCCTGTTCTTCTAATCATAGAAAGGATCATGTGAGTTTTCCACCAGTACAATATGGAGAACTGCAGAAGCTGATTGAAGGTGTACTGAAGCGGTGTATTGATCTTCCACTGCCATCCTTTAATAGGAGGCTCATGGTTAGTCCCTCAGTCTTACTTTTCATTCTGATTGGAGACCAGTGGTGGGCCATGTATGTGATGCATGTAAACTGCTCTCTTTTTCATGACTGAGAGTTATTCTAGCAGTTTTTCTTGAAGCCACCCCTCAGCCCACCCTAGTTAGCAAATATCTTGCTCTGCTTACGGCAAGTGAGACACTCCTTTCTAGAGGACATTCTTGCATCTTTTCAATGTACTCCAGGTTTATGACTTAAATCCCATTGTTTTCAATGAGAACTACAATGTACTAACTTAATCTGAATCCAACCCAAAATGTTTTGCAGAGAGAGTGTATGCTTGTATCTGTTGGTGTGACTTCCCAAGTTGTGACTGTGGGTGTTGCAGCACCATTACATGAGTGTTTCAGGGATATGAGCTATACATGTGTAAAGGGTCAGCACTGACATTAATATTTGAGAGCATTCAGGTTTGCTCCCTTCTAGTGGTATGATGTGTGCTTTCAATATGATATAGCCAAAAAAATTGGGATACATCTGTCTTGTTGCCATTTCTGTTGACTAGAAAGAGGGCACTTTTGTTGAACCTCTTTAAAGAGCAGAAGCTGGTATGAACTTTGCTGAAGAGCATTTACTAGTGATTCATTATGGATGGGTAGCATAAGTTGATTCAGATGGTTGGAGGATTTCAAAACTAATATAACTGTGAAAAGAACTGTTAATTTAAGCACAAGTTGCTCATGGCATGAAAGTGTCATTTTCAAAGTCTTTTTCTTTTCTCTCAACATCACAGGGCCACCGGGGGAGCATACATCAGAACAAAGCAGTTTCACAGCAGGGGCAGTTCCTGCAGAGTGTCTTAGAAAGCTTCAGAAATGCTTGTAGGTGAGGAAGACTTTTCCTCAGCTCACTTGATCTCAAGAGCATTTAGATCCATTACTAACTCTGATGTTAATTTTAATACAGAATTTATTCGTTTGTTTGAGGTCATAGTGAAGGTGTGCTCATCTTGCATCCACACCTGAGAATGCAGCAAAGAGCATGAACTATGTTCTTTGCTTTGTACCTCTGCATTCAACTGGCACAACAGTGACTCAGCTGAATGTTTTGCTTTATACTAAAAAAGTATTATATGGAATTTGAGTTGTATAGTTGTGTTTTATATGTTGTACAACACTGAGGAAAAATCAAGTTCTCAATTTATTTACCAGTCCCAAAACAGCTGAATAGGGCAGGTGATTTATTAATGCCTCCCTCCCTGAGATCTATGCCTGAAAAGAATTTGAATCTGTGTGTTCCACATTCAAACTCAACACTCCAGCTACAGCATCAGAGTCAGAGCCTGTTCAAGAATCAAAGGATGCTGTCAAAATCTGATGTCTTATAGCTTCTGTTTAACAACTCCATGTTTCTATTTAGGTTAGCTGTGGAATACCAAAAGGATCCTCTTGCTCAGGAGAATGCTTTTACTGCACCAAACTCAGAGAACAAAGACACCCTGAAAAGCTTTTCTGAGTTTCTACTGAGAATATCAGACTCTCTCTGCATTCCCTTAGTTATGGTAGGGTTCTTTTACTCCATATTTAACATAAAGTCAGTCATGTATGTTTATAGGAAAGCAAAGAAATGCACATGGTATATAATCTGTGACTCATGCAGAAAAAAATTGTGGCACTGTTTAGCCAATGGAGATAAAGTTGCCATGTCCTTCTGTTATCTTCCTGCCCCAATTAATTTGTTTATGGGGAATAGTGAGGAACATCTAGAGATTAAATTAAGGCTGCTGTCAGAATATATTGCACATTTGGATTCTTGTTACAAGCCATTTTGGGACAAGAATTTTCAATTAGACTATACTTTCAAATTGCCTTGGAGTTAGAAGCATGTCGGGCCCACTAAAAGGTTTTTCACTTTTCCTCTGAGTTGCATAACACTTTCTGTGGTTCTTCCTGCAGAAATATTCTGAAAAGGCTGTCCGCCCAGGTCTCATGGAGGTCTTCATCTCAACCCTCAACATCCTATTCAGTGTTAAGCCAGATGCTCGTAAGAGATTCTCTATTAAGCTGGGTAAGGAAAATTGGTGCAGAATATTATCTATACTTCTTTCAGAAGTAAAGAAACTCGAGAATGCATTTCTGCTTAATATGAATGAGATAATACATTCAGTAGAAAACCTAATAATTGCTGAGCATCTTTTAGAGTAAGTGTACCTTTAGCTATCCTATTCTTCAGTCAAAATGCAAATGTTCCTTCCTTGGGGTGATTCTAGCCTAATGGCTCTTAGTGCTACCAATCATTGCTCTTTTGCTGTTACATTACAGACAAGATTCCAATTCACTTTTCACACTTCAGGGGTTCTAGCACTTTTTTTGTGTGTACAGCCTGCTGTGCTAACATTTTATTTATTTATTTATTTATTAAGACATTTTTATGCCGCCCCATTCGCCGAAGCCTCGAGGCGGCTTACAACAATAAGTTAAAATACAAATACATTAAGTTAAAATACAAACATTAAATTATAACCTTAAGTTAAAATGTTTGTAAAATGTAAACATAAAGTTAAAACACAAAAATAACAATATAAAACATCTGCATTAGTGGGCATAACATAGCCCACTAATAGGGTAGGGAAGGGAAATTCATCTTAGTTTGCCCTAGTCAAAATAACTTTTTCTGTCTACCTTTAAATAAATTGTAAATTTTCATCAAGATGCCTCTTTATTTAGGTCCTATTGCATGATTAATTACTTTTATTAAAAGGTAGACAAAAACAGTGTGTTAGCTGAGAAATAACATGAGACTCAATCTTTACACCCACCCCACTGTGGTGCTAAAATGATGCTGACTTGGAAGGGCAGTGTATTTTTTTAAATGATATTTAAATTTGTGTTCAAACACTTTTATATAAGTTTTATTGCATGATTATATTGATTAAAAATAGGCAAAGACAGTGCACATTAAAAGTTTGTTTAAAAAGTAAATCTGGATAAAATGGGACCAGCCAGACAGGTAGCAGTGAAAATATACTGAAGTGTAGATGTATGGGGATTTCACTGCTTGAAAGCTCTCTGCATATTTAGGAACGAGAGAGAGTAGTGCCTAAGACTACACCTGGTAGCAATGTGCAAAGGCCACTTATACTTGCTGATTGCAGATGGGTTCCTGGCAAGAGAAACAAAGGCAGGATACAAATGCAATGTGATAATAATAGTACTTCACATTTCTGTAGAGAGTGGGCCCATCTGTCACTTATTATGGACTGTTTAGTTATAGTTGTCTGATTCTGAGGAGGAGGCAGAGGAGCAAGATGGTGAGCAGGAACTCACTGATTCAAAATTACCTAGTGAAGTTGCTCAGGCTGAGTGTGAGAATCTGCTTGCTTTGAAAGGGTTTTCTGGGTGGGAAGAGAGAGTGTATCAAAGACTCAGTCCTTGACTTAGTAAGGAGGTGATGGAAGAAATGCAAAGTCCAATAAATGGGGCTTTAGTGTTCTTGTTAAGGCCATGCTGGATCAGATCAGATGTCCTTCTGGTCAAGCATTCTTTTCATACAGTAGTGAACCAGTTGCATGTGGAAAAATTTGTTCCATTGTGTAGAGAGGCAGTTATGTTGTCTGAAGCTCAGAAATGTAATTGTACAATAAACTTTGACATGGTTATTGTATTTCATTCAGTGGGGTTTGCCTGGTCACTCTTCAGATGCACTGAAATTGTATTATAGAAAACTTTAATTGAAACGTTTTGCATAAGTAGAATTATCCTTCTCTCTAGCATCATCTTCCTTCATTCAACTGAATCTGCAGCTGAAGGCCAAATTCTGCACTGGACAAAGGTAATAGGATACTAAAATTAAATTTCATTTTTAACTGCTTTTTTACTGTTCATAGCTTACCCTTTAAAATTATATTGCATTTTATTACTTTACCCCTTCACTCAGATGGCTTGATATGTTTATAATTTTCATAGAACACCAGATTATGTCTGAATGCTCTGGAGATGCCAAATAAAACCTGTGAGGTAGTAGAAGTATTACTGTCTTATAACTTGACAACTTCACAGCTTATAAAATAGTATTACTAAACCAAAATAGATGGTTTCCCATGAATATACTGCCAAATTTTCATTTTGTATCATTTCTTTTCTCCTTCAAGTAATCCTGCTTTGAATCAAGCTTGTTCTAGCTTTCTCTATAATATGTGCCTCAGTCTTCATTCATTCTCTGAGAGGACAGTGGATTCCCCCCAAGAGGGTAAGTTTGATAACATTATTTTCTGAGAGGGAGGGCTTCCTTGAATCTTGCATTATATTGTTATATGTGTGGGAACAAAAGCAGTGGTAGGAAGTAAGGAAAAATAAACTGTGTGTGCAGTTGCCCATATGGGTATCAATATGTTGGCTCTGTAGCATGCCTTACATCTAAACTGGAGGTTCTTTTCCCTTCTGGGTTAGCTCATTTTTCAGTCCATGAAACGGCTGTCTTTGAAACCAAGACTGCTGTTTGCTGCAACTACCACACTAGGCAGTGGTTTCATATGATAAAATGACACAAATTGAGACGGATGTTCCATTTTCTTCTGTTTTGTGGGGCAAAGTGTAATAGTAGGACACTCTGAGGGAAGTTTGGATTTTGGATGTAATATTTGGTGCTGTGGGTGGGGATGTAAGGACAAGAGAAATAGAAAATATGCCTCTCAACCAGCACTTTCCTATTTCTGTCTTTTCCTGTTGCTGTATCCCCTTAGAGCAAGAAATATCTGAACTCTTGCAGAGAAGTTTGCCTCAATTAAACTACAATGTACTGGAAAGCATCAGCCTGTTATCTGAAACCCCAGGTTCCTTCTGTTTAGATGAAACTCTTCGTAATCATCAGTACAGTCTTCTCCTTCTTTTCTACTTTGCTTTTAGTCAAGAGGACAGGTGAGTACGGTAACATGAACAGGGGAATCATAGTTCTAAATCAGTAAATGAGATCAGTTATTTAACTTTTTTTCATATCTTTCTCTCAGATTTGTTCCAGAAGTAGAATTATTTTCTGCTATAAGAAGTTTTCTTCTATCAGTCCAGAATCAGGGTGATTGTCCACCTCCATATGTCTTCAAAACTGTTTTGTACCTTCTGGCAGTCTGTCAAGACAACTCTGAAGCTTTAGATTTGGTAAACACCAGTTCAATAAATGTTTCCCGGAGCACGTTTTAAATCCCAACACATCAAATTTTGAAGGTTTTATTATTGATGGGTCTTCCCAGACAATTAAAATTCAGTGAGTTCAGATAGCCAGTAGCACAATATCCAATCCTTCTTTATGACAAAGTAGTCTTGCTTTGGAGGAATAGCTATCAATTTTCTGGAAGTGTGTGTGTGCGTGTGTGCCTGCCTTTTGCACAGCAGTATTGAGGAAAAGTCTCAATGCAATTTCTTTCATTTGATTGAAACTTAGTGCAACTGATGAATATTTATTTTTATGAGATTGCTGTTACCTGCTCTTAAAGCCATTAAATTTATATATTTTCTTATTCCTCTTATATAGCTGGATATAGTCTTGAAATGCTTACTGTTGTTATGATAATTACTTTTACCAGTATTATTTGATATTAGTGTGTTGAAAGAAAGGTTATGCACTGGTCTCAAGAGAGATCACTCAGATTTCATGCTGGCTTTTTCTGATTCTACTTCTGTTCTCTTAATCCAGGCTTCACTTTCTGCTATAAGAAGGATCCTAGATATTATATCTGATTTCAGTCTGGTGTATGTCCATCATCCTCTACTACTTAAATTCTTCTTACGCTATCCTGAGCTTATGGGAAGATTTGGTCACCACATCCTCCGACTCTGGTTCTCCTGTGAGGACTACAGTCAAATTGGATCTGAAGATGTCACAAGAGACTTTGCTAGCTTTTCTGATGGCTTAAACAACTTTAGAAGTTTGCTTTCCTTGCTAAAGGGCAATCTTAATGCTCTACTTGTGTTGCTGGTATGTAATTTTTTAAATGAACATAAGATTAGTGTGTAGAACTCTTTAAGTATTATAGATTACCTTACATGATTCTTTTACCCATTGTCTTTAAAGGATTTTTTACTGCTAAGACTTAAAACGAGAATGTCTTCCAGAATACCTATCATGTCATGCTTAGCTATATTATTTAGCCATTTTGTTCTGCTTCAAGATCACTTTTGCAAAGTCCTTGTGGATTCCTCTAAAAGGAAATGGGTCTTCTGAAAAGGGTTATGGGACTTTTGAAAGGGTTTGCCAACTTAGACAGCCTTCCCCAACCTACATGCCCTTCAGAGGCATATGGACAGAAACTCCCAGAATTCCCATCCAGCAGGGCTATTGACTGGGAATTCTTGGTTTTGCAGTTCACCTGCTTTTGGAAGGCACAAGGTTGGGGAAGCCTGCACTAAACTATCTTTGGAAAGTATTTATACCATTAATGTGCATGACACTTCTTAAATCACAAGAGGACAGGTAACTTACTCTAAAGAGTAATCTAAAATACAGCAAAAGGCAGGGAGATTGAGGCAGGGGAAACAGGTAGAGAATATGCATGATTAATTCACTTAAATATGCTTAGATGTACATTTATGGTAGGGTACGGGGTAGGCAACATGGAAAAAGTGGGAATTGAGATAAGTAAGAGATGTTCTTCCAGGTGTTCTGGGAAGTGGATTAATGCAGAAATGACAAAATCATTTGAGAGGCCAGGAGACCTTTGAATGGCTTAGGGTGATACAGCTGAAGTGATGTTGATGTGTCATATTTATTTATTTATTTATTTATTTATTTTATTAAAACATTTTTATGCCGCCCCATTCGCCGAAGCCTCGGGGCGGCTTACAACAATAAATAAAAGTAATTATAATATAAATTACAATAAATATAAACATTAAAAATCCAAAAAATACAATATAAAATAAGCCGCCCTGGCCAGATAAGATCAAATAATACTAACAGTTAAAATGCCGCTTAAATAAAAAGGTCTTCGCCTGGCGCCGAAAAGCAAATAACGACGGCGCCAGGCAGACCTCTCTGGGGAGCGCATTCCATAACTTAGGCGCCACCGCAGAGAAAGCCCTCCTCCGAGTACCCACCCTTCTAATTTCTTTCACGGAGGGTTCCCAGAGAAGGGCCTCTCCCGCTGATCTCAAGGGGTGGGTGGGCATATATGGACGTAAGCGCTCCTTCAGGTAACCAGGACCCAAGCCGTTTAGGGTTTTATAGGTCATTACCAACACCTTGAATTGGGCCCGGACTTCAATGGGAAGCCAGTGAAGCTGACGGAGAACTGGAGTCATGTGACCATAACGCCCAGTCCCCGTCAGCAGCCTGGCAGCTCTATTTTGAACCAACTGAAGTGTCCGGACCGTCTTCAAGGGTAGCCCCACGTAGAGCACGTTACAGAAGTCAAGGCGGGAAGTCACCCGCCTTTAAGTGTCATATTTGTCTGTGTGGATTTCAGGAGTTCACTTTGTTTTCACAAAAGCCAGTTTCACACAGATTTTACCATGGTGCAAGGGGTGGAGGAGGATGCTTGCATTATATGCATCTACCCTAGCTGTTGCTGTTGCTAGTTGCAAAGTAGCATCCGACCCATCACGACCCCATGGACAACATTGCTCCAGGCCTTCCTGTCCTCCAGCATCCCCAGTAGTCCACTTAAGCTCACACCAACTGCTTCAGTGATTCCATCTAGCCACCTCATCCTCTGCCGTCCCCTTCTTCTTTTGTCACCTCAACTATATATTCATCAGGAATATGATTTAGGTCATACCTGAGTGGCCTAGTGCTTTTCCCTACTTTCTTCAATTTAAGCCTAAATTTTGTAACAAGAAGCTCATGATCTGAGCCACAGTCAGCTCCTGGTCTAGTTTTTACTGACTGTATCGAGCTTCTTCATCTTTTGCTGCAGAGCACATAGTCAATCTGATTTCTGTGTTGACCATCTGGTGATGTCCATATGTAGAGTCATCTCTTGGGTTGTTGGAAAAGAGTGTTTGCTATGACCTTCGTATTCTCTTGACAAAATTCTACCAGCCTGTGCCCTGCTTCGTTTTGTACTCCAAGGCCAAACTTGCTTGTTATTCCAGTTACCTGTTGGCTTCCTACTTTAGCATTCCAATCCCCCATGATGATAAGGACATAATTTTTTGGTGTTATTTCTAGAAGGTGTTGTGGGCCTTCATAGAACTGGTCAACTTCAAAGCCTCTTCAGCACCAGTGGTTGGGGCATAGACTTGGACTACTGTGATGTTGAATGATTTGCCTTGGATTCAAACTGAGATCATTCTGTCATTTTGGAGATTGTATCCCAGTACTGCTTTTCCTACTCTTTTATTGACTATGAAGGCTACTCCATTTCTTCTGAGGGATTCTTGACCGCAGTAGTATACCTGATGGTCATCTGAATTAAATTCACCCATTTCTGTCCGTTTTAGTTCGCTGATTCCCAAGATGTTGATGTTCAGTCTTGTCATCTCATGTTTGACCACATCCAGCTTGCCTTGATTCATGGATCTTACATTCCAGGTTCCTATGCAGTATAATTCTTTCCTGCATTGGACTCTCCTTTCACCACCAGATACATCCACAACGGAGTGTCCTTTCAGCTTCGACTCAGTCGCTTCATTCTTTCTGGCACTACTAGTACTAGCCCTCTGCTCTTCCCCAGTAGCACATTGGACACCTTCCAACCTGAGGGGCTCATCTTCCAGCATCATATCTTTTTGCCTTTGGGTACTGCCCATGGGGTTTTCATGGCAAGGGTATTGGAGTGGGTTGCCATTTCCTTCTCCAGTGGATAATCTTTTGTCAGACCTCTCTGCTATGACCTGTCTGTCTTGGGTGCCCCTGCATGGCATAGCTCTTGGATTTATTGTGCTACACAAGCCCCTTCGCCATGTTAAGGCAGTGATCCATGAAGGGGATCTATCGTAGTACATTATTCTAAATATTATACATATTTGAAGTGTAAAAATAACAGCAATTGCATCTTTCAGCCAGAATGGTACAGGATTATAAATCAAACTGCTTGATACATGAGTTTTACAGAAATAATTTGCTTTCACTCCTCCATAAATTTCAAACCCAGCATTAGTTGTATTTGTTATGACTTTGTCACCACAGACAAACAGTCTTGGGGTAAGGCAAATGGTGCCTATGAAAGAGCTTTGTTTGAACATAAGTTTCCTGCAGGTGATTTAAATCAGCATAAGAACAGATTTCAGGTTTCAACAATTGCCAGTAGTTTAAAAATTAAATATTTCTGGTTGCAATACATAGCAAAATCTACACAACAGTGCATGGACTATTTACCATTGATCTGCATAACAATAGTTTGACCTAAAACTTCAAATAACATAAAAAACATGAATAGATTTCAATTTTAATTGCTAGAAATTTTAACAAACTCTTGACTTTCAAAAGAGACTAGCTAACCTCCTTTTGTGCATTTGTTTGGAATCTGAAAATATCTCTTATAGCTATTCTTTTGAAAATTTTGGGATGTTTTGTTCTTCACACATGTTTTGGTTTATAGAAAGAAAACTGTAAATGATGGCTTGAAATTTGGGGACTTTTTAACTCCCTTGAGTTTGACAAAGTCCTTGGAGAATTGAATTTTGTAGGTCTGCATGTGTATAAATTAGACAACAGAATGTAAGCCCAGGGTCATCCAGGCACTACATGATGTGGGATGAAGTAACCTGTAGATTTTTGGAGACAGAAATTTTCAGAAAAAATATGTAAGCAACCTTATGGGAATGAGGTCTGGAACAGCAAGGAATTCATTTTTATTGTATGACTATGCACTGGCTAAATCATAGTGTACAACCCTTTCATTCTTGAGGGCTGCTTATGATGCTGGCTTAATGATCACATCTGTACACACCTCCCCACGATCCTGCTATAAGTAATTCTTGAATCGCACTTTCCTTGCTGCTAGTAATAGTGGGGAAAAATTAATCCTATGAAGGTTTCTGGGGAAGGGAGTAGACAGTCTTCAAACCATAATTGTGAATTGAAATCACAGTTTTAGTGCAGCCTGTTTACTGAAGAACTACCTAATTTATTTTTATTGCTTTTTGTTATGATGCTTTGTGTTGATCCAGTGTGGTATGATGATTATGGAGGATTTTGGAATTTGGCTTCCAGTCAGGTGTTCAAATCTTATGTTCTGCACATCAGTAATGAGCAGTAGCAACATCCACTTAAATGAGGCCTGATTTGTTTTTCTTGTAAGGATCTAGTCTGTTCCAGCACCAGTGAAGTGGCTCACAACATCTTAATTACACTAGAGTCATTTCTGAAAATAGAAGAGGATGTTCATGTCTGTGACCTTCTTCGAAGCCATTTTCTACAGATTTTGCAGAAGCTTCTGGTAGACAATAGTAGCAGCTTTTTACAAGGTAAACAGGAGATGTTCTTTTTTAAGTACAAGAAGTTATGGTTGGATAGCAAATACCTTCATAAGTTGATCTTCAGACACACAAAAACAGAGAAATGCTTTAGATGTACCATTTTATTGAAATGATGTGTAAAAACCATTAAAATGTAAGGACCATTTCACATGACATCAAACCCAATTTAGACACTTTCTGTTCACTTGAGAGGGAAGTGCAGCTGATCTGATCTGACTATTGTACCTGTATCATGAAAATTGAGTTTTTGAAAACCAGTTTGTCACACTTTACATGTTTTGCTATATACTTAAATAATGAAGTGTCCTTTTAAAATGCCATGTGAAAAGGGCTCACTGAAATTAGATGGATCAGCATCCCTACAGTTTTTTTTATGGTTAGTTTCTAGACTTGTTAGCGGTGAGGGCACGCACATGCATTTGTGTGTATGCATAAACACGTGGATATACACAAAGTATAGGTAGAGTTTTCCTTCACTTCCTGCTTGACCCAATGGCTTTTTTGTGTCTCAGATAAGTAGAAGTTACCATTTTTTATCAGTTGGGGTCACCAAATGACTCATATTAAAAGCGTCTTGGAGGTCGCTGAGTCCAACTTCTGTTCAGTGCAAGATTCAACTGCAGCAGTGGTGCAATGCCCCAGGCCCAAATCTGGCATTCCTTGAGTTGCTATGCCTGTAGCTTCCCTGGCCTAACCCCTTTCCCCCCACATACTTTTCCTCTGGTGGCTTCCTGGTCTTTGCAGTTTCTACCCATTCTGAAAGAAATGCTTCTCCCAAGACTTGATCTTTGGCATTATGAGCTTTAAGTTAAAGTATACTGGTATTTTTGGGTTATTATGTTCCTTTTCAGTCCAATTCACCACTGGAATGCCCCCCTCAAGAGCTGCTCCAAAGTTCCGAACTCCTAAATTATAGCATTCCTGAAAGATGGCTGCCCAGCCTCGGACTAAGTACTTTAAATGAAGGAAAGTCTACCTCTTCTTGAGGCCTTGTCAGACAGATTGGCAGATGTTAAGGCAGATGTTTCCCCTAATATTTAGCCAAAATCTGCTTCCCTGCAATTCTCCCCATTGCTTCATGTCCTTCCTCAGTAAACCGGACTCTGCCACTTGTGTTGAACCTTATCTTCCTGGTACAATTGCGATATGGAACAGAGAGAGAGCTGGACAGCACAGATTTCCGATTGCTCCATCTGGGTGAGTTTCTAAATTCACTTGGTCTAGATCTTTGGTTTTATTTATTTAGGATATTTCTAGGCCATCCATCACTTTCGTCTCTGGATGGCTTACAATAAAAAGGATAAGAAAGATTTATCTGTAGACTTTAAGGACAAAACCAGGCATGACTTGAATAGTGTCATTAAAAAAAAATCAAGTATGGAGCAGGCTGATTTTCATTGAGACCGCACATGGGAAGTGTGGTTTAACCCTGCCTTCCACATCTGTAATCCTGGCAAAAATCACCTTTCCCGGCCTCAGGGATGCCAGAGGGAGCTCTTTTCCTAGGCTTGAGCCACACCAGAAAAGTGGGAGATGATCAGTGTTAAGAATGCTGCTGAATTTACTTTCTTTCCTTCTTGGTGTTAGGAACTGATCTTGTGTAAAATGGGGTTCTTTATGCACATTTTGGGTGGAGTTCTCTAACTCTGAATGGGTGTAGCAGCACTTTGGGTCTTGAGCTTTCCATTGCAAGGTCTTTAGATTTCCCAACTCAGGCTAGGCACTGAACTGGAGGCAGCCATCTGTGTATATATAGAGGTCTTGCTCTGGCTTGCATACCAGAACCACCTATTGATTTGATGCTGTTTTAGGTAATCTAGTATAAACAGCAACTTACTTGCCTTAGCTATCCCTAAGCTGCTGCTTCGGTAGTCTCTCTGAACAAAATAGAGATTGTGAGTAAAAGTGCTGGGTAAATCTTTAAAAAGATAGTGAGGTTGCTATGGAGGTTTCTCTTCACAGTAACATTTTTTTCCTTGAGCCTGGGTTTGCAGATAACTTGAACCTTATACTCTCCATTGTAAGTGTCTGGTGTAAGAACAATTCATTCTCCTGAGTGGATACTGGTGAAAAGATGTGGCATATGTGCTAATTACAATGCACAGCTGTGACTGTACTCATTATGGAATTTGTTGGGCTCTGTTTAGAAGCAGATGCTCTGTTTCATTGTCTGTAATGATGTTGCACACTAAGTTGATTGGTGGTCTAAGCTAGTATATAGCTGTTTCTGTATCAACAGTCTATCCCCAAAGGTTTGGCATGTAATTTTGAGCATTTCTGTCACACAGTCAGCAATTTATCTGGGAAGTGCTGTCTAACAGACCTTGAAATTCTTCAGCCATCCCTAAACTTCCTGTACTTGAGCCTTTGGCAGACAACATCTTCCAGTCAGCAAAGAGGTAAAAAGTTAAACATGGATTCTGTTTGTTACAGGACTTGACATTTTTTTCAGCTCTCCTGTGACATTAGTTATCTCTGTCTTTTGAGAAGCTATCAAAATCACTACAGGTACATAGTGATTTGGTTCAGATATTAACCAAGATTGGAACTTACTGTTTTGTTTTCAATTAATTGTGGTTGGTTGTCATGTCCAAATCTGGAATTGTGGTTAATTTTAACTATGATTTAGGAAACAGGTTCAGATTATAAACCATGGTTTGAAGTTGGCTTGTTTCTTATACCAGGATAGGAAATTATTTTGGACAGATTTGATAATTTGAGAAACAGTACTGTGCATTACTGCAAAATGGCTGTCATGGGAGAAATGGCAAAGGACAAGTAACCTGCCAGAAAGGCTAAGTATAAGGCTATATAAAGCAGAGTTGCAGTCAACTCCTTTAACGCCCATAGTTTTCAGCATCAGCAAAAACTATTTCACAGCATTCTTGGCTGGTGGTAAAACTGGGTTATTTTTTTTTTAAAGGGATAGGTTAGAGCACCTTGTTGGTCATGTCTGGGGGCACATTGGTACCCATGGGCACCATATTGCCTTCCCTGTTTTAAAATATAAGACTAACCAGTGTGCCCAGGTTTGACATATGAGCAAATGGCTATGGATTGAGCTAGATGTGTCCACAGGTTAACATCTAGAATTTTGATGCTAAGATTTCTATAGGTACTGTCTCAAGTCACTCTGCTTATCAAAGGCATGACAATAGATAGTAAACAGGTTGGTAACATTCTGATTATGTGTTTCAGTGGATAAGCCAAGAAAGCATAAGTAATGGGTTGAGATTACTCATCTTTTCTTCCTCCTGCTAGGTTTCTGTGCCTAGCCGGAGCTGGATCTGAAAAGGAGGTAGAAAGCTGACTTTCCCCTCTGCGGAAAATCCTATGGCACTATGAGCTCACTAGGCATCTGATGGGGAGCAGGAATATGCTTGAGTGCTAATGCTTGGAAGTGGGGTACAATGATATATTGGACAGGTAAAACAATTGTACTCAATAAACACCCACGATCAAACATTTAGCCATCAAGGACAGCTAAAGATATGGAGTTATCAGTGACAGGGAAAAGAGTACTTACAGTTGCCATGGAAAGGTCTGACCATATATTAATTAAAAAAAAAAACATTTTCTCTTTTCCAGTGTCATTAAGACACTCAGTAAAATAGTCATGGTACAAAGAGAAATCCATAGGGAAAATTAAACAGGAGAATTTTACCACATAATGCTATCTTTGGAGAAGGAATGGCATTGATTAGTCTTAAGTTAAGATGTTTTGGTCATTTGCTCCCCTTGGTTTTAATAATCTTGAAGTTCTAGATTTTTCTGCAAGAATATCTAGAGACAAACTGTAGATATGTTAACATTTTATCTTCCTACCTTGTGTACAGGGAGCAGGGATGCAATCAAATGTAGAAAACAATTTATCTAGATTCATTCCAGTTTAGATGGGACAAATTGATCACATAGACCTATCCCAATCTGCTTTTAGGCCTGGTTTTGGGACAGAATCAGCCCTTGTTGCCTGGTAGAATTACTTTCAGTGGGAATGTGACTAGAAAGTACAACCTTTCCTGTTGGTTATCTTTGATCTCTCAGAAACTCTTTATTCTATCAACCACTATATTATTCTTGGAAATGGTGGTGGGCTGAATGAAGGCTGATAACCTTGAACCTGAATCCTAAGAAGATGGATACAATGTTGGTGGGTGGTTCTTGAATCCAGAAATTAGGTCTCTTACCTGTTCTGGCCACAATGCATTAGTAACCTCAGGGATAGATTGCTGCAGTGCATTCTATGTGGGGTTTCCTTTGAGACTGTTCCAGAAAGTGCAGGTAGTACAGAATTCAGTGGTTTGATTATTGAGTGGAATGACCTACACTTGGCATGTTATAACTTTGCTCAGAAAACTGCTCTTGCTGCCAGTAAAGTCGACAGATTCAAAGAAATGTTAATTACCTATAAGGCCCTAAATAACTTGGAGCTGCACTGCCTTCTGTGGAGACTGACTACCTTCTCCTATATCATCCTGCCCATTCACTGAAAGCTTCAAATTAGGGCATGGGAGATATATCTGACAACCATTGAGCAAGGTCTTTTCTGTTGTGCAGTCCTTCCAGTGCAAAAGACACAATCCTTGATGGTGTGTCACACATCTTGGCATCTTCTAATGTTAATACATAACTAAGTAGATTTTTATCTTTGTATTTTATTTTAATTGAGATGTAGATGTCTTTTCTATGCTACCTTATCTGACAATGAAGGTAAGTGTGAGAGACAGTGTGGTATAGTGGTTAAGAGTGTGGAACTGGAACTCAGGCAGTCTGGGTTCTAGTCCCTGCTCAGCCACAAAGCCAACTGGGTGATCTTGGGCCAGTCACAAATTTTCAGCCCAACCTACCTCACAGGGTTGTTGTTGTGGGGATAAGATTGAGAGCAGGAGGAGGAAAGTCAAGGCCCTTTGATTTTTTTGTAAGAAAAAAGGTAGGATATAAATCAAACATGTTTCAAATAAAAAATACCATTCAATACCTATTTGTATTTAATAAAGACATTCATTTCTGATCTTCTGGGTAGGTGTTTTTCTATCAGCTTCATTTGGCTTGGTGACCTCTTTCTTGCTTGCATTGCTTTCTTTTCTTTACAGTGGTGGTGATGTTACTTTCTAATTCACCTCTGCTAGAGCTACTTGAGAAGATTCTCCATTGCACTTGGATGCCAACCTCTTCCCCTGATCCTGCTTTCCCTTCATCTACTGAAGCCCTTTTGTGCTCTGCTTGGCTGCTGACTGCTTCCCTCTTGACTCAACAACATAATTACAATATAGAGGTTAGAAATATTATCCTAAGAAGAGCCATGCTGGATCAGGTTAAGGGTACAGTTAGTTCAGCGTTCTGTGGTCAACTAGCTGCCTATGATAAAGCCATAAATAGGACTTGAGTGCAATAGCATCCTCCTGCTTGTGTATTGGCATACATAGGCATACTGTCTCTAATCATCAGGGCAGCATCCAGCCATTATGACTAATAACCATCCTCAAATTGTACACAACCTGTGAAAGAAAGAGTGCAGTTCAAATAAATGGAAAACAAACTTTTTTTCCCAAAGGACAACTCACAGTTTATTTACTAAATCTATGTTGTTAATTGCAGATGCCTCATTTAGATGCCTTGTTCAGCTAAGATTTAAATGAGCCTTTTGGTCATGAACACAACCCCTTCATTCCTTAACTTTGTAGTAGAAACAAACCAGGAAGTCTCTAATGGTAGTTTCTGTTTTGTCTAAAGCAAAGGTGGGCAATTAATTTTCCTATGGGGCCACATGAGAAACTTTGACAGTTGTTAAGGGCTGGACCAATACACTTATAGCTCTGCTCAATATATATCTCTATAAAAACAGTAAATGAAACATTACAATGATACAATGAAAATGTGGAGCACACAACAACACTATTTAATGAATATTCACAAAAACATTAACATTACATGAAAAGCAATAAATTCAATTCAATTTAGCAGATCCTTCAAAATAAAAGCAGTGCAGTTGTATTGCTTGCATCTGTATTACAACGATATATATTTGCATTGACTTTTAATTTGCCAGTGACCTCATGCGGGCCAGTCAGGGTCAGCCATCGGGCCGGATGTGGCCTGCGGGCCGTACAATGCCCAGGTCTGGTCTAAAGCCATGATTATTATTTTCAGAACAAGCTAGGACGGAAAACTACAAAATGTGGTTCAGGGACCTAGCTTGTTCCCAAGCCTACTAGATATAGTTTCCCAATTTGGAAAAAAAGGACACTGTGGTTAGATAATTTTGCAATAGTCTGAATAAGGCCATAGTACATTATCACTTAGGAAAAGCCTAGTGGTAAAACCCTCTTTTTGTGTCCCAAATGACAGTTTATCCTGTAAGTCTGCAAATGAGGTGAACCATATAATGACTGGGTTAGGATTCACTGATGAACTTACTGTACAGATATTATTCTCAGTCCTTCCTGTGAAATTTGAATTGTAATATTAAGGTAAAAATTGGGTGCTATCTGATTATTTCTCATCAGTAGGATTTGATGTCATCAGTTCTGGCAAGCACAAAACTGTTGCAATTAGATCATGAATGTTGTGTTATTCCTTAGTCCTCTGAAGAGAAGTGACAGTTTAGGTGTTAAGTGGCCCCATTCATTTCAGTAAGCTGTTAATAATGAGGATGAAACAAAAGCATGCTTGCTTGTCTATATTGCCTTACTCTGAACTCAGAAGGTGTGGCACTCATCTTAATGTCATAACAAATAATGCAGGTGATAAATGAGCTGTAATTCTTGTGGCAGTATTTTGTTTTTGGAGAGGTAGGCCTCTGAACAAAGAAAATTCAGTGGCCTATCTGTATGCTTTGTACTGGGAATGACTTCTTTCACTTCATCCTGTCTTCCTCAACAATTCTCTATAATTATTTTCCGAAAGGTTCATCATATAATCTGTCTGGATGTGGACAAGGTCGTCAGTGCAGTTGCCTTGAGGAGGAGGAAGTCCATGTTATTCTCTGGCAAGTGATGTCTTTGCCAACATCCTTTAAAGCTAGAAGAGCACTGGAATGGGAAATAAAGGCCACAAGTCATGTCAGAAAAATTTAATTCAATTGTGCTAGGCAAATACTGGCTCAGAAGTTGTAGCCAGTTGTTGAAGTATTGTGTTTGTACATCTTCAGGTTAAAGACATGACTATTCATTGGCGGGAGTGCACAGTTCCTATAAGAAAGTGGGTTGAAGTTGTATTAAATGTGTATCAAGCAAAAAGTGGGGTGCCTGGGTGCCTTCCATCCCTGTCCTGTCCTTCCTTTGGACGAGTGGTCTGTATCCAAATACTAATTAAATAAAAAAAATGCAAGATCATCAAGTGCTCCCAGACAATTCAGTGGGTCCCACATGACTTCAGAAAGAAAGAAATGCTTAAATACAGTATAAGTTACCAAATGAGAGGAGACAGAAGCTTGAAAACTGTAATACATTGGACTTTGATTTTTTTGCCTTTCTTATGTCCTTTTTTGGATTCATATTTTTCACACACAGTGTGTATGTGAAATTAAACTGCTTGAAAAGGACTCTACATAGATTACTTTAAGTGATGCTATAACATAGATGTAGTACTAATTCAGAAAACAATTCAATCAGAGCTTTCTTTCTTTTCCCCCCCAAACATTCTCTCCCCTCATGCCCAAGGTATTAAAAATTATTCTAGGTGTTCACATTTAGTATAGAATTTTAGTATGGTAATTGATGGTTGCTGTGAAATATGGGATGAGGAGACTAATACATAGTTTTATATCCAGTCAGCATTCTTCAGTTTCTGAGAGCCTTCTTTCGACAGAACCTCTATTCCTCCTTTGTGAAGTTTGTTGTCCAGCCCTCAGTTGAACACAGGAAGGAACTACCACAATCAAAAGAAGATGCTGCTTTATATCCATTGGCCATGAGGCATGTACTGTCTTTGATTATCTGTCTGCAGAACCTACTGGTACAGGTAAAAGTCTATTAATCACAAATACTTCAATAATTTATTATCAATAAAAGTAATGATGATCTATTTGAAGTACAAAGTCTAAAGCAGGAGTCTCAAACTCAACTTACCTGGGGGCCGCTAGAAGTAGAGTCTGGGTGAGGCTGGGATATTGAATTAAATTTAACTTTTAATATTCTATGTTCTATTTGTAACCTGATGAATATTTTTAGTGGGATTTACCTGAACAATATTCAGTGTCCTCACCTTTTATATTTACAGAAAGACATTTTGCTGTCGCAAAGTGTTGTTGGATGTCTCGAAGTCCTATTGGAATACCTGCACTCAAAGAACCAGAGTATTGGTATAACTTTCAACATCCCAGTTTGTGTCCAGTTTATTATTTTGCTTTCTTTGGATTGTCTGCAGTAATTAGTGTAATATCTCAACCAGCAGTGGCAAGAAAAAATTTTATTATCAGTTCCTAAAAGAAGTTGCTGCACCTCCAGTGTTCTTTATTTTATATCAGGGTAGTAAGTAGCTGAGGAGATCATCTATACACTGGAGAAGCAAAATGGAAGTGTTCATTTGTAGAAATGACATTTCAGTTCCCAAGGAAGCAGTGCAAAACTCCTGTCCGTAGTGCAAGCTATATCAAGCCAAATGCGATGAATTTTAGTCAAGCCTCACTTGGTCAATGACCTGGTTCATACCGAACCACAGTGAAGAATCCACAACCCAACAGCAACTCTTCCTGGATTGCTCATGGTTCCTAACCCATAGTTAAACCACAGTGCAGGTTTAACAACAATCTATAAGTCAATGACTGCCCACAAACCAGCAGGATGTCATACTCAGGGTTGTTGTTACTTATGAACCAAATATGTCACATGAAGTTATTTGGCAGTGGTTTGTACAGCTTCTGTACAATCTCCATTCAATTGGTACAGGATTTGGAAGTCACAAATGCATGGTGGGAGCATGTATGTGTATAAAGATCCTTGCTCTTGAGATAGAAGCACAGGGATTGTTGAAGCAACCTAGTGACTAGCAGAGCCATTGTCTTTACTATTAAGGCAAGACAGTCCATAAACCATTATATAATCAGTTGGAGGAAAGAAAGAGTGTCAAGCAAAAGAAATATTGTTAGGAAATGTGGTGAATAGCTAGAGGCTGTCATCCATCCATACCATGCAGGGTGATTATGATAATTTCCCTAGTCAATAGGGACAATTGTGTGAGAAAGAAAAGGTTTATAGAAAGTTCCATTTAGAAGAGGGTTCTAGCATAGTAGTAATAATCCTACTTTTTATGTGGAAGATTCCAGGTCCAATTCCACCTTTCCTGGACACAGATAGGAAAGGGTTCTGCCTAAAAAACTGGAGAGCTGCTGCCAGTCACTGCTGCCAGTACTGAGCTAGATGGGTCATTGGCTTGACTCAGTATGTGGCCACTTCCTATGTTCATTTATTATTATTATTATTATTATTATTATTATTATTATTATTATTATTCGATTTATATCCTGCCTTTTTCCTACAAGGGCTCAAGGCAGCTTACATCTCCTCCTCTATCTTATCCCCACAACAACAACCCTGTGAGGTAGGTTGGGCTGAGAGTCTGTGACTGGCTCAAGGTCACCCAGTTGGCTCCATGGCTGAGTGGGGACTAGAACCCAGGTCGTCCCGAGTCCCAGTCCCATGCTCTTAACCACTACACCACACTGGCTTAGATGGATTTTAAAAGAACAAATAGGTTTCTAGTCCTAGCCTGTGCTAGTTTTGTACTTCATATAACATACAAAATGATATCCCAATGGTCTAACCTCAATATTGACTAATTCCCTGAGTTTATATATTTTTTCTCTTCCCCACTCCTCCAGTTAATGAATTAGGGTAGGAGTTTAAATTATGGCCAGCAATAATGGCTCTTGTTGAGGAAGATAGTAAACCTTAATACTACAAATTATTTTGTAGTAAGGAGAACTTTTGTTACAGCTTTTGATGACAGAAAGCATGAGTGGGGACCCGTGGCCCTCTTGAGCCAGCATTGTTGATGGTTAAAATGTGGGGAGTTGCCCGGCAACATCTAGAGCCACAGGTCCTCCAGCCCTGTTGTAAAGAAAACCCTGAATCTATATGAATATACTTAGTAAATATCTATTTGGTTGCTTTTTAAAAAGCTATGCATGGTTGTTTCTCTCCTAGCACACCATATAGCTGAACAACCATGGAATAGATTCCTGTTGATCACACTTCTGGATGGTGTGAAACATTCCTTTCTTCACCCAGAAATTCTTAGACTACTTGCTTTGGTGAGTACAAGAACTATAAACAGTTATCCTGTGCACACTGTAATTGCAGTATACTATGTCTACAGGTGTTCATATTGCTTCTGTTATCACAAGTAGTCCTGTGGGCCAAAGAGACCTGGATTGTGTACTTGGATCTCCTGACTTTAAAAACAAAAACATTAAATGCATTGGAGAGGAGTACTGATTTTGAGCAAAGACATTGGGATGTAGGTATTTCAGAACTGGAGCTGCATAAAACTTCCTTTTAACTTAGAACAACAATAGTTGGGGGAGCAGAGTTTGTACCTTCCATGTTATATTAGCTTAGAATCCTGAAGTAGAAAACTTCTTGGGCTGATGAGTTCTCAGTCTTTATTGTAACCATGTGGCCTGTTGACCAGGTTGAATTATGGTGGGGGCTAATGCAGGTTACTCAGAAATACAGCAAAGGTTCTTAAGCAAATATGTTAGAAGTCCATATATCCATCTGTGAGTTGTATCAGAAGTGACTACATTCACAATGTTCTTATTTTCGAAGGGAGTTCTATTTTTTTATGTCTACCAAACTTAAAGTGCAATCCAGTGCATATCAACTCAAAAATTAGTTCTACTGAATTCAGTGGGGCTTACTCCAAGGTAAATGTCTAAATGGTTGCAACGTTTAGCACTTTTGTATATGCTGAAGTAATTTGCCCTAGCTTGTGCTTTCAGTATACTTGGAAAGTTTAATTTTAACATAAGTTTCCATAGAATCATTAAGCTGGAAAACATTCATTTGGTTATCTAGCTTATCCCTTGCCTTAAGTGAGGCAAGATAATAAAATAAATGCAGTATTTTAAAATTTCTATCCTTAAATTGTGCTGAAGAGTGCCCCAGTGAAACTTGAGGCAGCTAATGGTTCTGTGCAAATCTACAGAAGATTCTGTGTTGGAATTAAAATTCAAGTTTATTTATTTATTAGTTTATGAGGTACCAAAGCACCAGGATTATTTCTCAAAATGAAATTAGCCACATACTTGAAGAAGCAAGAAATTCCAAAATGGCAGAACTTTCTGATGCTACAATTGCTGCTCTTCGCTCATTTCTTCTTCAGGTGAACATTTTAGGAAAAGATAATTTGGTGACAGTGCGTAGTAGTTGACCAGAGAATAAAAAGAGTGACTGTTTTCTCGTGGTAGTGTTCTTGTTATCAGTTTGGCTTCTATAAGCTCCACATATTAGGGGACTCATTTGTCCCTTCAAGACCTTTAACTGTGAGAGCTGTACTATTTAACAATAAAACATTCTTGATCAGGATTTTTTTCTGTTGCATTTGTGTCCCTTGCTTCTCCTCCTTTTCAATTTTTTCTTTCAAATGGAATAACCACTTTTTAAAATATACTTGAAAAGAATTAGTGGTTTTACTGTGTAGTTTTTTAAAAAATATATAAGCACTTTCAATATTTTCATATTGGCATTTGGTTTTGCTTGATTGTATGTTTTGTCTTTCATTTGCATTAAAAACTGTCCTGAGAGAGGAGATGGAGATGTGTGTCTCTATGTGTAATAAATATATAAAAATTGTGAATGGTAGTAAATAAATATCTCAAATACATGAATAACATAAGCCATAAATAAATAGGAATAAAAGAGCACCTGTATAAAATTCTGAAATGATATGAATATAGCTGGCCTTACCAAAAGTTGCTTGCTTTGAGCACCAGATTCTAGAGGGGGAATTGTTTTCTTAATTCCAACTTTTAGGTTCATTACAGAAAATGAGACAGAGAAGATTGTCATTTTGACATTTTCCTTCTGGAGTACAAATATATAAGGCTGGCACTTGATTCAGAAGTACACTTTATGTTAGCAGTGGAGAACATAAGGTCCTCCAGATGTTGTTGGACTGCAGTTCCTGTAATTTTCCACCATAGGCTATGTTGGTTAGGGCTGATGGGAGATACAGTCCAGCAACATCAGGAGGAGTACACATTCTCTGCTCTTGCTTTATGCCTTTTCAAACCCAGAAATACCACTTGAACCCACATGCTTGTATGGATGCATAGTGCAATCTCCAGTATCAGCACTAGCTGTGTAAAATTGTACTGACTCTGATTCAAAGCAGAAAATATAAGTTACTTACTCGAATAAACTTTTCATGCATCTCTCTTAGTGCTACAGGACAGCATGCTGCCATGTGGACAGGGATTTGGGCTTTCCTGCTGTTGTAGCAAGTAGAGGAAGTGATAGAAATTAAAACATAAAGGAAGAAACCTATTAATGATTTCTCTAATTCCCAATGTCAGCTTCAAAATGGAAAATACCAGGTGGAATCGACCCAAAATACATATGTCCAAATCTTGCTAGAGAGCCTCCCATCAACAAGGAGGAGTCTGCATACCCATCAAGACATGGTGTATCCTTTGGCAGGATATGTTACTAAAGTGAAATATAAACTATCATGTGGCTGAGCCTGAGGTTCAAGCTAGGCCAGCTATTTTATGATCAGGCCACCGGAAGAGAGTGTTCTTAAATTCCTTGTTTTTGACCTTTGCATCATTTGAATTTAGATAAAACAGAAAATGTAAGAAAATCAAAATTAGATATAAAGGAATACGGTACAGTTGTGGGACATGTAACTCTTCATATTAGATAAATTATGATAATTTGTTAAGCAAGAGCAGCCAGGCAGGTACTGCTTTTCATTCTTCAGTTTTTTTCTTGTTGCTGGTAGAGTGCCTTTGTTTCATCAAGCTACTTGTGAAAGACTGTCCCTCCTTTTGTAAGATCCTTACTTTACCCATAACATTGATAAATCTATCAGTAGTTCTCATTATATGAGGATGAACAAAATGACTATGAACAGTCTAAAGTTTATCATAATTACATCAGTGTAAAAATTATAAAAATGAAATATACTAATATCACTTCTGTTTTGAAAAGAGTAATAGGAAAGGTTTTTTGTTAGCATTCAGAAAATGGAAACTGGGAAAGCATCCTAAAGCTTTCTGTTGGCATTTTTACTGTGCCACTAACATTATTCAGTGCTGGGGCAGGCAAACTGCAATCAGAGCACTGATCAAGCCAGTAATTATCAATAATAATGATTTTGTTCAGCAGGCAGGAGTGCCTTGTGGCATTTATGTAATAGCTCTATTTTTTGGCTAATGAAGAAGCATTACTTAACTGGATAGGTAGAAGTTTTATCTCGCCAGAATCAACTTGATCAACTTACCTAAAGCTGCAATCCTACACTCATTTATCTGGGAGTAAGCCAAATTGAACTCAAAGGAACTTATTCAGTTTTAAGAAAGCACATATAGGATTGTGCTGTAACTATTTTCTGGAAAGTAATAGACTTAGAAACAAAGTGATTCTGAAATATTTTTGGCTTTTCATTGTGGGAAGCCCTCAAATATTTAGTGAAAAATGAATATATTTTCTTCCTACATACAATCCTTTTGATTATTTTGTTGACTTTCCTCTCAAATCTTTGAATTCAGATTTCATAATGGAATAGTAGTGTCTCTCTCACACATCAGAGACTGAAATGAGAAGAGAAAGTACTGAACACAGTAATGAATGGATAAAGCAACTTGCCTTTATAATTTTTGCCTGTCAGTTGGTTTAAAGAAGGAATATAAAGGAGATTACAGCCTACCCCAGAAGTCATTTAGTAATCTATTTAGTAGTTGAAATAAAAACACTCATATTAAAAACTTTAACTGTTTTCTGTCTTTCATAGATACAACTTAGCTTTAGATAACTTGAGAGTTATTTTCAATACTGATCTGGAAAATAATTTGCGGGCAGTACTGATGCATTTTTATTGGTATTTTTAACGGTTTTTATATCTCTTTCATATTGAGGTGATGTGAATTATGGTTTTGGTTAATGCAAAATGATGGTTTTATGCACCTAAGCAATTTCATGAGAAAGAAGTTGTGATTCAAGGATTTTATCTCACCAAATTCATAGTCAGCAATGCATTTTGGTTGACCTTTTCTCCCTTAACTGCAATGGTAGTAATCTCAACCATTTTGCTATGAGAACTTTCTTAAAGCTGGCACATTTAAGTGCTAGTTCTCATTTTGATTTTTTTGTGACCATGTTATGAAAATTCTTTCTTTGGCGATAGATCTTGCTATGATGCTGTTCTCACTGTGTTGCCCAGACTATAGTGATTTTTGTAGCTTTTTTAACATTTTAAATTGCCATATTGTGTTTCTTGTAACAAAATACCTAAAACTGCTACATGGTATACAGGAAACTGAAACTGAAACATTATTTGCCCCTAGACTTATAATTTAATCAAAGCTGAGACACATTAGAGAAGAAACTGAAGAATTATAAAAGAGAAAGTAGATCAATCAGGGAAGGCCAGAGTGAATGGGTGTCTTAAGCAGACATTTGAAAGTAGTAATGGAGGAGAGGTGTTTGATATTAAGTGGAAGAGTGCTTTCATAGCAGAGCTGCTAGGGAAAAGGTCACAGGAAGAGGATAATCTTTGGTTTAATGAGGAGACTGGTAGAGTGAAGACAAGAAGCAAGAGGAAATGAGTGTGGTATGAAGAAATTAAATGATTAAAAGATAGGAAACATGGGATGGGTGGCAGCTTTTAAAACAGAATGGGTAAAAATAGAACTTGGAAGGGACTCTAGAATAGGATATTACTTTTTGAGGGAACTAAAGCCATTCCATGGCCTCTAGAGACGGTTGTCTGAGGACTGAGGCCATAGGATTGTTTGAAATCCTTGTGCCAAGCTTGGAAAATCCCTCTGATCTTGTATCGCCACCTCTGCTGCCATGCCTTGCAGCCTATGTGGAAAGAATTTTACCAGCTGCTTCTTTGCAACCTTGGAGAAGGGGTTTAGTGGGTATTCTGAGGGCAGAAAGGGGAAGAAGCCAGCATTGTCAGGGTATGATGAATTCTTGTGGCACCTCAGTTGCCTCTTCTCCCTCTCCAAATTGCCTTAGACAGCCAACTGAAACTACCTGTTTTGAAGAGTGGAGGTGGGGGGAGGAGGTAACCACCTCCTAAATGCACCTTCTACTCTGCATAGAAAGCCTGCAATCCTCAGAGTGTTACAGGCCTCCCCATAGCATTCTACCCTACAATGTTAGTAGTGACCACAGAGAGGGAAAAGTGAATTCTGGCTATAATAATCAATTAAAAGTACCAGCACTTGGCAAGAACATGGATGCATGGAAGAAAGTAAAGAAAGAACCAGAGGATTCCAGGATTCTGAGAATCCTCTAGAATGCAGAATGTTTCTACATGTTGGTAATTTGGATACCAGTTTAACTATAGAAGCAGCAATAGCAGTCATACCTGAAATAGAGGGAATAGAGGGAATTATGGTCTTTTCTTCCAACAATCAGTGGAAACTGTGGTCTATGAAATTTTATCAAAAGGTGAAATGATTTTAAATATAATTTAGTTAACTCAGAGTGCAAACCTATTTATATTTTAATATCTGAGTAGATTGTGAAGGTACCTCAAAACCAACCCAATGAGGATTGGGTGCCCTAAGTGACGGCAGAATACTGACAGAAGTGGTGGGAGAATGGTGTGGTTGGAATCCTGAGCAACAGCTCATTATATCATCATAAACATCATTACTATTTTTATATCCCAACCTTTTCCCATGTGAGGAACCCAAGGAGGTTCACCTAGCTTAATTTTATCCTCAAAACAACAGCTTTGAGATAGGTTGGGTTGGACATCTGTGAATGGCTCAAAGTTACCCAGTGAGCTTCATGGCTGAGTACTAGTACTAGAACCTTGATCTCCCTGGAACCGGTGCCACATTTTAGCTATCATGCCATGGTGCAACATTTTGTTATAACTCTCAGGTGTCTTTAATAAATTTACTATTATTCATATTAGTAAATTATATGAGAGCCAGTGTGGTGTAGTGGTTAAGAGCATGGGACTGGGACTCAGGCGACCTGGGTTCTAGTCCCTGCTCAGCCATGGAGCCAACTGGGTGACTTTGGGCCAGTTGCAGACTCTCAGCCCAACCTACCTCACAGGGTTGTTGTTGTGGGGATAAGACGGAGGAAGCGATGTAAGCTGCCTTGAGCCCTTTGTAGGAAAAAGGCAGGATATAAATCGAAAATAAATAAAAAAAAAATATTACAGTAGTACCAGAACTAGAAAAGAGAAACCTGTCCTCAAGTCTTGGCAAAATAACGACCGAAAACTTTTACTGAATAATCCACAGATCAGAGAAATAGTCTGCAGCCCTGATTTTTAATTATTTTTATTACATTTTCAAAAATACTTACAAAGCAAAATAAAATCTATATTAATACCTATTAATACTTATTCCACACTTGATTTGATCCAAGTTAAATTGTCCGATTTAATTCCTTTTTAATATTTTTTCATCAGTTCCAGAATTTTCTGCAAGCTTCTTCCAAGATTATCTTGCTCCATATAAGCTATATATTTTGCCAGTATCTTTTTTTATACTTATATCTTTATTTTATTTTTCCACTTAGCTATTGTTGAGATCCAAGCTGTTTCTCAGTCATTTGCTAGTGATTGCCTTGTGGCTGTCAACATGTTTTCCCTTATCTCTTTGTTTTCTTTCATAAACATATTTCACAAAGCTAACTCTGGTGTTACGTATCTTTTGCTTGGCACTTTCTTATACTTCTTGAAATAGTTGATTCTATGCAAGGAGGCATGCGATCATGGCCGTCTGATGTCTGAGAGGTTTTTTGGAGCACCACTGAGATCCTGTGCCATCAGACCTGGGACTCAAAAGGCCACTCCATTGCTGCAGCTGGCACATAAGGAACTCTGCTGGTTGCCTCTGAGGACACAACTGGGCTTTAGAGAGCAAAGAAAGGGCATGCCAGCGGAGGGAAGGAGGCTGCGGCTGATTCCTCTTGGCGCCCAACCTCCTTCACTTCCTGATCCTCAGTCCTAAATCTATAGGCACGTGTCATGCTTCGGCAGAAATACTGGTACAAATGTATTTCATATGGTTTAAGAGACAGTCATATTTAAAGTATTCGTTAATTATGAATGAAATAAAACAAACCAGATTCTTATTAATCATAGTTTCATTGTTCCTTCTAACCCTCTTTCCTTGCAGATCAACTCTTTCCCTCTCGGGCTTCTCACTGCCTTTGAAAGCCGCGGCCACTTGCAGACTTCGAAAAGGCCCCGCGGGCGTTTCAAGCCTTTCCTTCTCCTCTTTGTCCCTCCGAAATTCGGCCAAGGGCCACGCAAACCCGGACCCTGGACATCCCCACTCATCCACGTGGGTGTTTCAAAGACTTGCAGGACTACCTAAAAGTGGAGCGGGAGGAGGGAAGGAGGGAGAGGCACCAGCAAAGCTACAGGCGGGACTACAACACAGAGCATCCTGGGAAGCCCACGGAGGAAATGATGCGTCAGTGCAGTGTATGCTGGTTTGCTAGCTGCAAGGCCAGTCAGCCGCGGAAAGGTCCCGGGAAAAGGAAGAGCCGCTACAGCATGACAGCGTTGTCAGAGTGAACTACCGCTCTGGCGGCTGGGGACTCGGATCTCTTCTCAGGCAGCAGGTAAGGTTCTCTTAATAGATCTACCAAGGGTTGCCTAGGAAACTGGTAGTTTAATCCTGTGCAGTGCAGTCATTCTCAATGGGCATGTTATTATGAGCCGCTGGTTCCACAGTGCTGCCTGGAACTGCAAGGCAGGCGGCAAAGTACTGTACTTCGTAGTTTTTCCCGCTGCTGTGTTTTCCGCGATTAAAATGCGGCACGATGAATGAATGAGCGAATGAAAGAAGAGGGGGTAATTTAAATATTGCGGCCCTACAAAAGAGCCAGGCCCTAAGGCAGCAACAGCGTTGGGGGCAACCTCATTTAATCGCCAAGCGGCTGCAGGTAGCGCAGTGAAGTTCGCCTACGATTGCTCTTACTGCCGCCGCTGTCGTGGTGATGTTTCATGCAAATCGTTGGGCAGCGATACATCCGCTCTCCTTTTGAAGGACACGTACCCATGATCGCCTTCTCTCTCATGCTTGGTTGATTAATCTGGAAGGACTGCGAGCCCACGGTTTTGTGAGCATAAGTGGGGGTTACTTTTGCGGCAGGGAGACAACAAGTTAATTAAACTGCTGTCAGTCTGCCTAATAAACTTGGACAGTCAGGATTTCCAATGTGTTGCAGAATCATATTTGTACTCTTTGAGTGGCACTATCAAACAGAATTAAGAGAACCTACAAAATAATATAATAATAAACCTGTTGGTGTATAGAAACAATATTCTAGCAAAGAAATTAATTTAAACTTAAAGAAACAAGAGCCGTTTTGACTCATCGTAAAAGTAATAATGAATCAGTTGTAGCACAAATAAAAATATGGGAGAGTTGAGGGCAAAGTTCTCCTTTCTGCCGGGGCATCTCCTATCTTTTGCACTTCTCTTTGCTGAAGACTGAATACACATTTTGCCTCACTTTCTGCAGCAAGCCTTCCTTCCACAGTGGGGTTCTTCTCATCCCACCCTGCCTGCCAAAAGTGGACAGGAAGGGGGGTGATACCGTTTCTAAAGGCAAGAGGACAGTCATGACTAAGAAGCAAGGACTGAGATGTTGGTTTTGACATTTCTTTAAGATCACTGGAGAAACTGCACCTTCAACATTCATATTCCCTTTTAAGCATGAGTAAGCTAAATTACTGCTAGGATTGCCATCAACAAGACGAAGGATTTTGCTCATTACAGGGTTAGAAAATCTTTGTGCTAGTTTCTCCTTCATCATGGCAGTTTGGTTAAAGTATTTTTAAATATGAATTTGCAAACACTCTGCTGAAGCACTTCGTCACATTGTTGAGCTAAAATCTCACCATAATGTCTTGGCTAATGGTATATTGCATTTAAATGAAAAACTGTTTAAATTGATTAATCTGAAACTCAGCATCTACTTTGGTTCTCTGACAGTAGATAGTTCAGAGAGGGGCGTGCGCTTTGATCCTACTCATATTGACTTGCAAGTACATCCCAATATAGTCAAAGGTTAGTTGGCATAGGGTTCCAATTTTAAAACCTTCATTATACTTGCCACTTTTATAACTGATAACATTAGCTGGGGAATCAGACAGTCTGTTGCATTTTAATATAGAGCATGAATCGTCAAAATTTCTGGTTCCTCAAGCCATATTATAGTGTGCAATGAAATACCTAGAACAGTGATTCCCTGATAACTGTTGGGCAGTTTCTACTGGACTCTTAACCTTGCCTGTTTGTTGTTTGAGTAAGCGATACCTCTTATTGCCCTGTATCATAATAGCACCAACAACCTCCCTTCCCCCCCGCCCCCATATATTTAAACCTCATGGTTTAAATGAGTTCTATATAATGAGTTCTATATAATAGTAGTTGGAATTTGTCCCCAAGAGTAAGTTTTTCATTCAAAGCTAATTGAAGAACCTAATAATGTATTTTATTATTATAAGATGCAATGGTTAAATAGTGACTTGTGTCCTAAATGCTCTAGCATGCCCTATATCTGTTTCTAGACAAAGAATGTTTTGACTCTGCCATCTTTGTTTCAGTTTTGGGTACTATAAACATCCATACTGCTTTTCAAAGGTAAATGCTAAAACTGCAAATGTGTGCAACTTTTGAAATAATGTTTTTACTCTCATTGGAAGTTGTGATTGAGGCAAAGCTATTTGAAAGGAAGTTCTTTTATCACTTTTTCTGTGTATCTATGTGGCTGTTAATATGCTTAGTATATTAAATACTAATTTCTGGCCCCCAGCCTGTGGAATGGGAGATGTCTGGTAGTTTGGCTGGATCCTACCAGAAGCTGCATACTCTGTTCTGTAGAGAAGTAAAATCCACAGGGACTCTTGCAGTGCTTCCATTTAATGTTTGCAAATTACTTAAGATCTTTCACTGCAGGTATGATCAGTAGACTGCTCCAGTTAATCATGCTTCCAATATCTTTCCCCGTGCTGAAGGGAGATCATTTTTATAAAAGATGACATTGCTGCTGTAGCAGAGGATTAAATTTTGATATACATTTGAAATACTTTGATCTCCACCTTGCGTATGTTCCTCCATCTCACAAAAAATAAAAAACCTCTTCCAAGGCAACTGTTACCATATCTAAACCCTAGATATGCATACCGTTAAGTATGCACTAATGCCCTATTGGTTTTTAATATTTCATTCTCTGCTTTTTCTGGGGTTGGGCTGGGCTATTCCTTGCATTTGTGTTGAAAGGCAGACTGCAAAAATAAGACTATCCAATGGCGCTTTCTCAAATTCTTCACCCCCTACATTCTGACAGGCTTATGCCCTACATTTGTGGTGCTTGCTGCTTCCTAACTGATGGAACAGCTGTGTGCAGATAACACTCCAGTGGCTTTTTAGAATGCCCCTGAGTGGTAGAAAGGAATAGAATATTTGCTTTCCGAACAGTGGGAGAGGATAATAAGTTCAAGGAGGGTTCAAGTAGAAGCCTTTGTGCTTCTAAGCCTATCCCACATAACCTTTCCAAGGCTCGATGGAACACCTCAAACACATGCCGTATTTGCAATTCATATATTACCTTCACAACAACTCTGTGATAATTCAGGCTGAGAGAAAATACTATGCTAGGCTAGGCAGTAAGCTTCACAGATTGGAGGTTCAGAGCTCTACTATCTTTCAAGTCCACACTTGATACTCATTTCACCATGCCTTGCAAGTTGCTCAGTCTCTGCCTTGAAATCCTGCTTGCCTCTTGAAGAGCTCAACTGCATCAAGAAAGTACTGCTGTACTACTGCTCCAAAGGTCCACTGGTGCATCATGCAAACTATCTACTATTGCAAATGGAATTTTAGAATTGCCCTACACTAGGAAAAGGGATTGGGGGAAAATGTTGATGTGAGTAGTGAAGTGGAAAGTGTAGTGACTGCTTACTTCCATGATACTACTGACTTCTATAAACAGAGGATCAGGGTCTAGATTGAAGGCTGTCCACCAACACTGGCTTATCCTGGCTCATAGTAGAAACAGAGATGAACTTAATAGCTGATGTCCATTGATATATTTGGAGGAAATACAGCTCAGCTCAGATCTAGAGTGTTGAATTTCTCTTTTATTTGACATGGTAGTGTTAGTATGCTGTTTAATACAATATATCAGTTGCTGGGTTTAGACTTGGGTTCATATCTCTCTGTAGCTGTGAATGACCTTTTTATGACAATATGAGCACATGACAATATGGCCTTGTTGGGAATGTTGGTTGAGGGCCACCTGCACAGTCTGCCACATGGTTAAGTGCATTGTTTATTGCATTGTTTTACTGTGTGTTCGTCTCACAACCAAAGTCATACTTACTGTGCCACTACAAAGCTTTTGAAGCTGGGCTTGACCAATGGTGTGGCTAGCAATGGGTTTAGTTGTAAGCCAACCATGTAATACTGAACACTGCCTTGTGCCTTTGAAAGGCTCACTTCTTTCTAAGTCCATGTGTCTCTCAGCATGTTGTTGGTTGCAAAAATCAGTTCTGCTGGATTAATTTAGAATTTAACAACTCATGGTGATGTTTCCAAGGATATTAGCAAAAAATATGGCAATGTTACCTAACAACAGAATAATTTCTTTAAGTAAGAAATTACAAGGGATTGCAGTTTACAAAAATCAACCAATTTAAAATCTGTTAAGTGTATAATGACCCATTTTGAGCCAGCAAAATAGGAATAAGACTTGGATCACAGTAACCTGGTTTACAACATGAAAAGCCAGAGTACAGGCTGAGTTTGCATAATTATTGAAATGTAGGTTGTTTTGTTGTGTGGATCCATCCATGGTTTGTCAACTACAAACAGTCTAGAGTTCACAACTCAAGAACAAATCATGGATTTTCTTTGTGAGTTGTTCATGGTTGAAAAACATAGTTTGGTAGCATGCCTGGGTTCATACCACAATAACCTGTATTTCCACAACAGCCCATGATTCCATGACAACCCACACTAGACCCATGCTCTGGCTTGTTCTGTTGTGTGAACCAATCCATTGTCTATTGACAATTAGTAAAAATTAATATACAAGCTGAAGGAATAGAATAATTGTCGGGCTAACTGAAGTAGCCATGATAGAGTTGAAGCCCCTTTGAACTTGGTGCAATTCTGTTCTGAATCGAGATACACTAGATTGTGCTGTGCAATAAGTTTTATAAGGCACTCTTTATTTTAAAGATCCTTTACTAATTAGTAATATGAAGTGAAACAAATATATGTGACTATCTCATTCATTATTTTTGGCATCTTGATAAGCATACATGTAGAATCTGAACACCTCAATTTAGAAGGGTTTTGTGGGTGAAATGAAGAATGAGAATGTATCATCCCTTCATGTCATGATTTTGTACAAATTTATGCACTGTTTTATGCAACTCATATAATGACAGATCCTTAAAATTGAGAACCATTATGGTACATGCAGTCCCTGGGTTATGAATGCCTGAGTTACGAACAACCTGTACTTAACAAACAAGCTGCCATAAAGCCTATTAATTTAAAAAAAACTGTGGAAAATCATCATCATTATAGAGAGAGAGGAAGCTAAAGGGGAGAGAGAGAAGGCCTCCATAGCATCACCAGAGAGTGGGCTAGGGGGGAGTGAAAGGGTAGAGAGGGAGGTCTTTGAAGCATGCCTGCCCATTTGGAGAGGGAAATCTCTCCTGCATTTCCTTGCTGCAAAGAGGAGACACTAGTGAGTTGGGGCTAGAGATATTTGCAGCTTTTCCATTTTCATGAGGGTTCTATACTCTTAACCTTCATGAATATGGAGGGCCAACTATAAACATACATAACAAAATCCAACTTACATAAAAAATCAACCTAAAGATGAATGGAACAGAACTTATTCATAACCCAGGGACTGCCTGTATAGTGGTGAAAGTGTTGAGCTGATAGGAGATCCAGGCTCTAGTATTTACTCAGGCATGAAGCACACTTGGGGAATTTGGGCCAGTCACTGACCCACAACCTAACTTATTTCACAGTGTTGTTGTGAGGATAAGCTGGAGAGGTGGAAGACCATGTAAAGTACCTTGGGTTCCTTGCAAAAAAAAGTGGGATAAAAATACAATAGTAAATAACATTTAACCATCATTGTGTTTTCTTTGCAAGTTTTGAAAATGTACGTTACTTATGTCACCTTCTTCCTGAAAAGAACAGAACTAGTCCTTAAATGCATGCTATTGTATTTGTTAAAATCGGTGAAGTTAAGCCAGATGTTCCTGTCACCCTGTCCATCCCCAACAAATGAATGTGTGATTATGAGTGCTGGAAAAATCTAAAGGATTTTATTGAACCAGTGTATAAATGTTTAAGCATTCCAAATGAAAGACTGGTTTGATTTTTTCAGTATTGTTTTGTGTTGTATAGATAATGGTTAGGAGGCCATAAGAAAATTGGAAACACAGAAAGCCTGGCAGCAAATGGTAATTCTACTAACCTTCCAATTAGGAGCAGCCAGCTGCTCTGATATCTATTAGTCTTTCTCAGGAGACAGACCTAACTTCACTGAATGTAGTTCTTGGCCTGAACATAGTTTTCTGTGGGATATTTAGGTGCCGCAACTAGGAGTGTTGGGTGAACGTGATATAAAGGTACATTAGCTGCCACCATTTGTCTTTCTCACTATATGTTTCGGCAGAGACAGATGATTACAAGGATTAGAGAAAACTTCATAATGGCTGATTACTGAAAAATTTTGGTAAACTGAATTTGTCATAGCTTTCTAATAATATGCTGAAGTGGCTATACTTTCTTATGGAGAAGCAGTAAACAGAACACCTTGATGTAAAAGAAATATTAATCCTAGTCTGTAATGCAATTGTTTCCAATTTTGTTTTTCAGACATTTCAAAGCTTTTGAGCACTGCAGTCCTATGTGTGTTTTCTTGGAAGTATTTCTGATTTTATTAAATGATCCTTCAGTCAGGTAAGTCTGCATTGGTTATCTTTCCTGGAAATTGTCCAAGTTTTGTCTATTTTCACTTCCATTATTTTGGCAGGATTCCATATCAATTTTTGATAACCTTGGTGTTCTTCCAGTAATTTGCAACTGGTATTTTTTTTTCTTGCTCTCAAGACAACAGTTCTCAATTACTGTCATTGCTTAAGATAAGCATAATTAAAATAATATGACTGGGTACTAGCAGTGTACACGCTAGAACAGAGAAATCAGGAGCATTGGAAGTTTTGTCACTGGGATGATGTCACAAGCCATTAATTTGTGAAATTAATGTAAATTTGCTGTCATACTGATAAAACTGATGTAAATAAACATTTAGATTCTGACTTTGACATGGCAACAATTCTTTCTAGGCCAGTCTCAAGCATCTGTGAATAAGATCTAGATTCACTCAGCTTTGGCTTCAGTTTGATGTCTCATAGGTCTCTTCTGAGATATGGTTTCTGAAATGTGGTTACATGGGTCAGTTACGTTCCCACTTCCCATTTTATTTTCTGCATGGCTGATCTGCCTGGGTTCTTGGTTGATAACTTATTTTAATAAAAACAGCCTCTTCAGTTCTACAATTGTGTAATGCTCAAATTCTCATTTTATTTTTTTTATTTTTTCATTCTCAGTGGAAGTGAAGTTAAAATGAGAAAGGGGAAGGGAAACTGTTCTCTGTAGCCCAGCAACAACCCCAAGCTCATGAATTCCGGTTGGCTGGATTCAGATAGGGTGTGGTGGGGTGTTGGAGTTTGGGAGAAAGGGGGATCTCTGCAAATTAGCTGCCCCCACCTGATTGTTGAGCATTCCCTTTCCATGCACCACAGCTCACCCTATTTGGGAAGCTCACCCAAACCACTAGCATTTTGTGGGGGCTGAATTGGCTGTTGTGAGGCAGAGGGGGTGGGAAGTACCCTTTGGCCAGCTTGATTGGAAATGTCTGCATCTGGATCAAGCCCTTGGTGTCAAAGTTCCTAAAGCAGGGCCCTTCAGCTTCTCTTCATGTGCCTCCTCACCTTAATAAGTAGGACTAATGCCTTTTGAGTAAAAGTGTCACTTTAAAATCCAAATCACCATAGCTCATCGAAATGTGTTAAATTTTTAAAAGCAACAGTACATAGTTGTGATATCTTAAGGCTTAACTAATCTGTATTTCATGGTTCCAAGAATGAATTTCTTCTTAACATAAGAAATATGAGGGGTCTTCAAAAAGTTTCTGCACTTTTTTATTTAATAAATTAATATTTTTTTGTGATGGCATTAAAAATTGGTACAATGCTGGGAAAAATGCATTGCAAAGGAAGGTGACTGTAGAAAAGAGATGTAATTTCTTTTTGAAATTCTTAATAAATAGAGTCAAAAGTGTGGAAGCTTTTTGAAGACCTCTCGTACATTGCTGGATCAGACAAAGATCCTACTAGTTCAGGGGCGGAGAACCTCTTTTAGCCTGAACTGAATTCAATTTCAGAGAAGCTCTTGGGAACTTCATCCCAGTTGCAGACAGGATCCCCCTCTCTACCAGCGTATTGTAGCTTAAAACTCAGATTGCCACTAATTAAGCCTTAGGAGAGTGATTTTAAGCTTTTACAATGGGGAGAAATGCAGAAAAGCCTGGAAACCACTAAATGATTGGTGGTTGAAGAAATCTGGTGTGGCCAAGGGAAGAATGTGGCATTTGGGAAACTCCCAAGTGCCAACTTGAAATACCAGGAGGAGCAGGTTTGGCACCCAGGCCTCTGGTTCTCTGCACTAGACCTATTACAACATAATTTGCAGGAATTTCAGCAACAAAAAGGTACTGGAGTGCACAGTGGAAATTGGTCAGCAGCCTGGGCTAACTGTTTCTAATTTCTGCTGGTCTAGATATGTGGGGAAAAAGAAAATTCTTATTATTTCCCTGTTTTCATGAAAATAATACATGAGGTAAGCCAGCTCAGCTGATTGACCCTTGTTGTACTTAAGGCTGCCTGCTCTCTATTGTGTGAATTTTGCAGCACACACATATTTTTCAGCCTTTAATACTTGCTTTGTATTTGCTCACAGAATAAACAAGCTTTTGAGTATCCATTATTTCTCATTGTGAGAGTTCTGTTATAGACAACCGTGTATACAGGGCTTGACATTCATTTCACAGTCTGGACTACAGGTTCCCAGTGGACCAACAGATCTCTTACTAGCCAGCTCCATCTGTTTCAGAATTTGTTTTGGCATCTCAGTAATCGAAAGGATGCTCCTTCTATCACAGCATGAAGGACTTGAGAAAATATTTCAAATTCCTAGGAGTCAGTAATTGCAATGTAAATATAATCTGGATATGAATGTATGATATCATGTAAGAATATAAAACATAAATCAGAGCCTGTTTTTATGTCCTGGGTCTCTACAAAACTGGAAACAAACATGCCATATTCAGAGGTGGCAGCAGCAGCATGCATTTAAGGATCTAACTAGCCATACCTGGTTAGTTTCTACCCTCATTGTTTTAGTTTACATTTGCTTATGTGCTTACATATTATATATTTGCTGCTTTTAAAGAACAATTCCAAAATAAAGTGCAAAGGTAAAAGTTTGGCTATTATACTATATTGTACTAAATCTATATCCTATCCCTTTTTAAAAAACTAAAATGCTCCATAGTCTTCTTGTAGGGCAGGTGCTCCCTACATCATTTGAGTTACCCTTTACATCTTTCCCAGGTTCACAATATATCTTTTGAGGGGAACTTTGAGTTACATGAAAACATTGTCATACCAGCCATACTGTTCAGTTTGTTTCTTACATCCTACATGAAATTTACTTTTTTGCATTGCAACCACACTCTGAGGTGATGCTGTCATGCAGCTTTCAACAATAACTGAGATCTCTTTACTGATTATTCATTGCTTGGTCAGATGCTGCTGGTTTATATATGTCATTAGGACTAATAGCTCCAATATACACATCACTTTATGCTAGCACACTTTTAACCTTCTTTTCACCACACATTCACCCAGTTTGGAGAGACCTTTTGGAGCTATTTGCCATCTGCTTGAGTTTTCATCAGCCTGGCTGCTTACATGCCCGGGGGGTGGGGGGCACACTGTGGACTTCACTACAGAAGTGGTCCATTTACTCATACTCTTTGTGTCTTGTTGGAGACTTTGGTGATTGACTTTGTCAAACGCTTTTTGGAGGAGTAGGTATATGTCTACCAGACAATCATTTGTATCCACATGTGTGTTGATAATCTCAAAACTCATTAAGTTGATAATTCAGGCCTTCCTCTAAAAACCCATCTATCTAAATTTGTGGTACTGTAAAGTAGAATCTGTTGATTGAAGATTCAGATGTTGGATCTCAGATTTAGGCTCTTGAATAAACATATGCAGAAAAAATGATTACAGATTATAAAAGCTTTCTCTGTAGATGCATCTATCTCTTGAGATGTTACCTCTTTAGACTACCTGCTTAGCTAGGAGTAAGCCTCATCAAACTTAATAGTACTTCTTTCTGAGAACACATAGGGATTGGTGCTGTAAAACTTCAGCATGTGTTCAAATCACAACCTATGGATTCATTAACATTTCTGGATAATTATGACAGTCTCTAATTTCATGCTTGTTAGTGCAGGAAGTAAATATTTTGTGGCCAGGTTACAGTAAACAATAACATAATAATAGTCAATAATACATACCACTCCATGTAATTTGGAATCTTGCATACTGTTACCTGGAATTTTGCGTACTCCAACTTGGTTCCTTTTAGATGTTTTGCTGTGATTCTCAAGTGCTAAATGCTGCACTTGTTATTACATTTTGTGTTTAGGGAGGAATGTGGAAATTCTCCGCCCTGTTTCACATAAATACATCTGGCACCTATTTCACATTAAGAATTGAATGTTATCTTACTGTCTGATTGAACTTTTATCTGTGACATTATTTAACTTTTCCTATTCTTATTGGTCAGAAGATGGCCTTCCAGCACGTTTTGCTGTGTTTTTTTAATGGCTTAGGCATAGAAATGTGGATGAAAACTGAAGAGGTGGCTGGAGATGAAGTTGTTGTTCTAGTAATAAAATATGATGGTATCTGAATGAGCTACTGCACAAATTAATCATTGGCTTGACTTGGCAGTAGATGCCCAAAGTAATTGGCAAAGACTTTGCTGTTAGAAAACGAACAAACAGTAGTTAAGTAATAAGACCTCCATCCACAGACAGTTTTATTTAGTTTTCTGCTCTCGCTGATGCAGATATGCAGATAATACCTCATCAGTTATTAGTCTCCCCACCAGTTACTAGCTACTGCTGTAGAACCTACCTGACTAGTTGCCTGGAGGAGCTAATTGCTCTCCACAACTGATTAGGTAAGTGGCTATTTACAAGCCAGTAGGAGTTACACAGAGATTAGGATTGAAAGTTTGCCATTTATTTACATACACATGTGGACATACTAACACATTTTTGCATGGCCTCTGAGCATGTGTCTTAGATACCTCTGGAATATGGCATATGAGGTGTTCTAGCCCTCTGTACCCCACTAATGGATTTTACCTTGAAGCATTTCTTCCAATGGGCAAGATTGCTGCCTCTACTGCTCACTTCCTTTTCTGCCACAATGGAGTTCTTTCTTCTGAGCTAATGTGTAATCTTTTCTACTTTTTCTTTTCTGTATTTTAGACATTCCATAGGAGGTGACTATGACAGCTCTATTCACATCAAGAATGGCTTTTATGACATGAAGGGATATCTCCAAAAAGTGTGAGGCATATAGAGGTAAAGTCACTTAAACATACAGATCTCTACCTTGATTGCTTGGGTGAAGCACATAGTGTTATCTCAATTTACTCGAAAGACCAGGGTGGTTGGGGAAACCAGGATAAAGACACTCTGAAAGAAGGCATTGAGTACTATGAAGATTCCTTTCCCCGAAAGCCATCCAAACTTGAAATGGAGCATTGAAACATATTCCAAAAGCACCAGGGACAGTAGCTTAGATCTGGTGAAGGACATGAAATGGAAGACCCTGCTGCAGAAATGGAGGCGCAAGCTTTATTCATGATGCTTCCGGGGGGGGGGGCGCTCCTGTTGGGGGGCTCCTACCTCCTCCAGTCAGAAGGCATTTAGCAGCCATTTCATTTTTTTTGTCTTATTGGAAAAATAGTTTCTAATTTTACTGTTTCTTCTACATTTTACTTACTGCTGTAAGTAAAATGTAGAAGAAACAGAAGGAAAACATGGGAGAATTAGAAGGGGAGAATTAGAAGACCTGTAAAAGTCTGTGAATGAGGCAAGGCAATGATGCCATGAAAGTCTTGTTGGTTGCTGTGTTTAGCTCAGAAGTCTTTGGGCTTACTGAATCATGCTGATGGAACCAGTTACATTGATGGCATTTCTTCAAGGAGTAGAGTAAATTAATCTGATTTGGAAGATGAATCTGAATAGCTATATTCTAATCCATAGGCAAAAGTGGCATTTAAAAAATGCATAGCTGAACAAGTGGGGAGCAACACTCCAATGTCTTGGAAGATCTTTGCCTACATAAGGAATAAGTCAGATTGACCTGACTGTTAAGTATCCAAGTTCATGCTACTTAAATGGAAATGGTGTATCCTATCTTGAAAGTGACAGGAACAGAGTGCAGTTGGGTCAGTAGCTCTGAAGTCAGTGGGCTAGTGAAAATGAAGATCACTAAAGAACTAATGCTGACACCAGCCTCTTAGCTGGGCATATCTTGGAAATGGAAAATGATGGGTCATGTGTAGCAAGGATGATGATGATTTGCATGTACAAATCTAAGGAAAGTGAACAGTAACAGAAGAGTAATGAAACAAAACGTTTTGCTTGCAAAATCTGTTCTTTAGCATTAGATCCTAAATGGTTTTCCGACCTGGTGTTCCAGGCAGTGCCATGTGAATAGATCTAGCCACACCTTTCATTTCGCTCAGTGGCTCTGAATTAGCATTGCTGTGGGCATTGTTCTCAGCATTGCATGGAATGCTGTGATCACACCCAGAGCCTATGGAGAGGGGCTGCATTATGAAGCGAGTAGAGTGGCCCCAACAGTGTGCACAGTGTGCTTGTGCAAGCAGGCATGGCTTAGATCAATGCATTTCCCTAGAAAACTGGGGAAAGATTGAACACTTGAAATTTGAAGATGGTGCATTCAGTCAGAAAATGGATGAGTCACTAGTGTACATCAGGGGGCCAGTTGCTTAAGCCGTAGGCTGTATCCTGCTAAGCAGCAGTACTGTGAATCAAGGAAGGAAGCAGGGAAAGTCCTCTTGTAAGAAATACCATGTAAATACTGTAATATGATGTCTAAGCTCAGTACCTTAAACCATCTCATTGTTGTCATAATTATTTCAGGAGTGTAGGTGTTTCTAGCAATTAATGGGTAAAGGCTTTTTCTCACAAAGTTACCACAAATAGATAGCTTTTAAATCTACTTTAGAGCTGCTTTTCTGTCAGCCATCATGCTGTATTTAAGGACAAATGGCTCAAGATTAGTATTGTTCCTTGGGTCCTCATAATTGTGCAGTTGGGGTATGTAATGGAATTGCACTCCATGTTACATCCACAACCCTTCCCTCTGTACACATTGAGCTTGCATGTCAAGTTACCTTTTCTAAGCTGGAAAGGTGCAGGGCTGCAGCTGGATGGGTGATCAAAGTGGAAGTCGAGTAGGGGGTTGGACTCAATTGCCCCATAGACCCCTTTCAACTCTACTTCTATTCCAACGTGAAATTGCACTTTCCATATAAGTATCAGATCAAAACACAGCCTCTTTTTCAGCTCCATTGTTAGAGAGGAGTGTTTCAATTTTAAAGTTTCTTGATATGAATTGTGCACAGCTCTCACAAAATCTTTACAAAGTTTGTGGTATTTAATATTTGCATAGCCTTGAGAATCTGGCCACACAAGTTCTCCTTACATAGATAGATAGTTCCTCTGAGGTACCTCAAGAGGGACTGGCTTAACATCTTCAGTGCCATTCTGTAGATTCCATGGTTGGTCTCATAACTTTTCTATGTGGCAGCAGTCAGAGGCTGCCAGGGCTTACTGGCCTCCAGAAACAGCTAGTGTTATCAAGAGACATGCATTTTCTGAGAGATTTTTTTTCCAAATAAAGTTAATTTATGCTGGCATCATTAGGGAGTGATCTAATGTAATCTAATGTATTTTAAAAGTATTTAATAACCAAAATACCCCATGCGCATGTTTGTTCAAATACACCACAAGCATTTGTTCTGAAAAAAATGTTATTTCATTGTTCATCATACAGTTTTTTATTGGAATAGTTGCAAAAATGTAGAGACAATAGCACACACTTTCCTTATATGATTTATATTTAAAAAATGCTGCAGGTACTAAAAGATGTCAAACCATTATGTATTTTATATAACCATTATATATTGTAACCCACCCAGGGTGCCATGGGCAGGATAGAAATCAAATAAATAAATAAATACTTTTTAGGAACTGAACTGAACTTCTTCCTGGACCTCTGCTACATGGAAATATATCCGCTGTCTGTTCCTGTTATAAGTGAGAATATCAGCACTGCCTTCTGTATTTATGTCTCTTTCACAAGGACTACAGCTACTTCAACAATGCAGAGACAAGTCTCAGTGGCAGATGTTTGCCAGGCAGCAAAGTAGGAGTCTCCACCGATGTATTTTTGAGTGCTGTGCTGTGGACATTGATGCCATGGAAGAAGCCATGGGAAGAACAGTGTTGCAAAGCAGCGGTCTTCTGTTCCCCCCTCTAAGTCTCTGTAGTCCCCTATTTCTGGGACAACAGACGGAGCCATAACTGTTATTCCTTTAGGGACTCTCTGTGCAGTTGGAGAACCCACTCACTTTCCTTGTTGAAAAACTGTAAATGTCAGAAATGTGTGCCTACAACATTGGGAAGGAATTGAGCAGGAGAGGCACTGACTGAGGCCTTTGCATAGATGCTCAATGGCAAAAATGCTAGCTGAAGGGAGGGACAGAAACATGTTTGGATTTGCATACAACAGTTTTTATGGCTATGAAGGTCTCATAGTTGCCATACCAAGAGAAAAGTGCAGAAGCTGCAATTCACCCCTTCCTTCCAAGCAGATGGCAGTAATGCCCTTCTTTGTAACGCAAACAGTTTATTACATTAATGAAAATCAATCAGACTACAAATAAAGTGAACTCTAAGAGTCAGTGACAAAAGAAGCAGAGTTAGAATGCTAGCTGCTAAGAAGATACAGACTATCGATAAGAAGTTGATTCTAAACTGAATACCCATCCTCCCTTTGAAACTCAGATTACCAACACATACCTCAGAGATGGATCCTCTTGCCTCAAGGAGGGCAATTACTTGGGGTGACTGACATTTCTCAGTCAGTTGGCCTTCTTTTCCTGACACTGGGACCCTGGAAGTACCGATGACTCATCTGCCCTCTTTCTCAGTAGCAGGCTTGCTTTGACCTACAGCCTAGTCTAAAGCTGAGTGACTCTTAAGTCTCAACTACTGCCTGGCTTTGAATCCATTGGTCTTGACATCCAACCTACATTTTCTAATCATTCCCCTTGCCTTTTTTCCCTCATCCCCAGAAGGCTCTTTAGCAAGAGAAATGCTTCCAGTCCCTACAAAAAGTAACATACAGGTTGGCTCTGATGAAAAATGGTGGATCACAGCCTCTGACAAGTGTAAAGACAAGGTCCACTGATGATGCAACCTATGCATAGGTGGAATTATGCTATGTTAATGAGCATAAAATTGGTTGGTAGCATGGAATCTTTGAGTTTATGTGTTTTAAACAAAATCATATATATAATTAGAGTATTTCTCCCATACTACTACTCTCTCCAGTCTAGGATTTTAAGGATGGATTACTGTCGGGCCTGCATTTTTCTCTTTACCCTGATATTATCTAGAGACGTCACTGCTGACACAGAGAAGAAAAAGACAGATTCAGGATTAGAAATCTGTATCCTTCTTCAGATATTTTGGCTTTGAGAGTGTATGTGTGATACAGAGAGAGAACAATATTGTTGGGGACTTAGTTGTTCCCAGCAAGGGATATGGGGAGAATCTGGATTTGGAAAATGTACTCATTTGTCTAGAAAATTATAGATGCCAGAAAATCTACACATATGTATTTACGCATATGCCAGAAGGAGTCTTGTTCAGTGGGCTATGTTCTTTGTATGTTCTGGCTGAATGACAATTGCATCCATTTTCTGCTTATTTCAATGACCTTCTTCTTTGGTATATAACATGACTAAAATATTTTATATAGGTACTTCTAGGTTTTTCCCAGTGGAGTAATAGCAGCTTCTTGTGGGGGCAGGAACTGATTTGAGATGAAAGGGCTCAGTCTGTCCAATCAAAACAAGAGCCCCAGGAATGGTTTTAAAGAAAAATAGAATCAACCAGAAATCCAGTTGCATGTTTCTCTTGTTTCCTGTAACTTTGCCCTGCACTTATTGAAGGGTGTTTCAAGACAAGGCCTTTATGGTTCCCTGCCTCATTCATGGAATTTTACAAGTGGTCCAGATGACATAATCTTCCACTCATGATCCTTCTGGGCTTTCCCATTGTTTTTTCCATCTTCTTTCTTTCTCACTTAAGGAGAAAAAGACAGATCAGCTGAATAACATCTTTTGATTGGTAGTGCTAGGAGCTGTCCATTTGAAAGAACCTAAACCTATCTTTAAAAAAAATTAATATCTGTACTTTATTCCCTCTCCACTTAAAAAACAGCAACCTCAAATTGTCTGCTTTCTCCCTGTGCCCCTGCCACTTCACATTTTCATATTGATTTTTTAAAACAGAATAGCATTCAAAATAGCTTGGCTCAGCATTGTGCAATCTTCCTCACTAGTTGATTATTGGCATATAGGAAAAATGTGTAGGACAAGTGATGCATTGTGATGTTATCCACCTGACCTGCTTACTGGGTTTATGTGATCACTGCAGTTCACCATGGATTATGTAAGCCATGATGGCACATAGTGACAGCCATTTTGCATATTCACCCTCAAGCAGTTTGTGTGTGGGGGTGCACCATGGTTTGTTATGCCATCTGAATCCAGGCACAGGGGTTCTTTGAAGGTTAAAGCTCACATAACGCATGATCTATTGCATGGTTGACAGTTGGATGCAGAACAAATCATTGCAGACCCACCATGGTAAATAAGTCATGGTGACTGGTTTGATCATATGAACCAACCCTTTAGCTGTTATTGACTTGTGGTTTTTATACCTTTTATGCCCCTGTCAAAATGCTTGTCTTTTCATGCAGAAATACAGAGAGGGTTTATTTGTCCCATGGTAGTATCCCAGACATTTAGGCAGAGTAGTGCTTCTGTTCATAGAACTCTTTGAGATGTTGGTATACACTTTTCATTCCATTAGTATGTGTTTTTCTTTTCACTATGAAAGTGATCTAAATATTAGGAATGTGCAAGGAATCCTAGTGGTGGGAATCCATTGGATCACCTGGACTTGGTTCCCTGAACTCCAGTCTGCTTTGCAGTGGCTCAGAGTCCAAGTTCCTGGTGAGTGCTCCCAGTATTTGTGGGGTACTCACCAGGAATCATGCCCCATACAATGTGGGAACAGTGCCCCTCTTCTGTGCCTACCGCTGCCACTACCAGCCGTGCTGGTGGGGAAGAAGGTGGGTCACTGGGAATGGTGCCTGGTCCAATCACTCACAGCACCCTTCGTCTGCATCCTGCAGCTGCTCTTTGGGCAGCTGCACCTGATGGGAAGCTTAGGGATGGAGGGAGGGATGGGTTTCAAAAGGGTTCATTCCAACCCTAGTGAAGACCAGTTCTCTATGTAAAAAAAACTTCACTTTTCTTCCAGGAATGTACCATATAGGATTCTCTTATTTATATTTGAGAAGTATTTTGTTGCTTTTCCCTTGCTTTTATTCTGTAATAGGAATTGTACTCTTTTTGAATGGTCCTCTAATCTTTATGCAATTACCTCCCCTGCTCTACAGTAGATTCTACTTGAAGCTCCTTTTTTGGCCCAGGTTACCAGCCTAAGGAGTGCAGGCATTCTTTGTATGTGTGTCCTATCTCTATCTGGTGGTCCTTCCTCATAAACTTTGATGCAGTGATCAAAGAATCCTCGCCAGTCCTGTTGGAGACTTTGAAGGAAAGTCCACCCTTTTTTTGGAAGCAGACCATATGATAGACAAAAGACTTGTGGAATGTGCTCTGAGTAGTTGCTTTGGGTTGTGGGCGGAATATGGGGCACAGTTCTGGATGTTCTGATCTGTATCATATCCTTGACTAAGTCACAGATAAGAAGTTGTTTGAAGTGAAACGCAAAGACCAGATGAATGCACTGAAGAATCTGATTGAGCTCAATGATGTGAACCAGCAATACAAGATCATAGACATCATGCTCAAGGGTCTTTTCAAAGTGAGCCTTACCTAACTGAGCATCAGATTTTTTTTAACCATTGATGTTTTAATGGACAGTTCTAAAAGTAGTATGGTGAAACGAAGAGGAATATAACCACAGCTTGCCTTATAGGAGGAGGGAAAGGAGGACAGGGGACACCACCACCATCTTAAAAGAGGATTGCTAACCAACCTAGTAGTTGTTGCTCAGTCCTGCATTGCCAAATGGGTGTAGATGGAGGGAAAACAGCCTCTTGGGGACTGTTAGTTACTGAATGTCAGACATCCCCCAACTTGGTGTCCCCCAGACATGTTGAATTACAGTTCTTCAAATTCTACAACATGCTATGGCACTGCAGTCCAACGTGGAAGGCACCACGTTGGGGAAGGCTGAATATATTATGGAAGATAACTACTTAAGCATAACCCTGATCTTCCAATATGTTCTGCATCCTCCTCAGGTATCACCTTCAGTACCTCTTCCATAATTATCAGTTGTTGTTCTTTGAACATTAGCCAGAGCAAAATTTGAAAATTTCAGGTCACAGTATTTATTTTTATTTATTTAGGAAACTTCTATGCCACCCCATTCACCAAAGCCTCGGGGCGGCTCGCAACAGTAAGAGTTGTTGTTTGGGTCGCTCTTCTTGGTACCCAACAAATGATTTTGTTCTCTGCTACATGGCATTGTGTTCTACAGGGAAAATGATAATTGCTGCATACAGTTGCTATTTTTCTATAGCCCCCTTGCTTGGATCAACACACTCCATTTTTATATTGTGCAATGTAGCATCGTCATGCAGCTTGTATGTGCCTGTTTGAATCTGTGTTTGCAGTCTTGGTCCAGGAAAATTAGTCCTTGTTTCCCATGCAGATTTATGACATATTTTCAAAGTCTTTATTTGTATTTATGTATAAACAATTTTGATTTCCATATGTTATAAGTTTATTCTCCTGTAGCAACACCTGCCACAAGTACTCTGGACTGTCTAGGCTACATCAGATAGGCATCTGCTTGCAACAAAGCATAAGAGAGGGGGAACCAAGAAGAGGCTATTGCTGTCAGCCCAGGAGTGTAGGAAGGATGTTCTTGGCAGAACTGAAATATACTGAGATGGTTTTCTGTTGTGATGCGCAGGTTCTTGAAGATTCACGGGCAGTACTGATAGCAGCAGATGTTCCGCCAGATGGGCCATTCCCTCAGGATGAGAAGCTGAAGGATGGTAGGAGCTCTTTGCTTTCTAATCTTGGTTTCAGGATCCATCATTCTTTATCCATTAAGTTTGTAATGATAGGCTGTTACGGCATTACATCTCTCTTGCCATTCTGTAGCCACCCCTGTCACTTCTGTTCTTATGTGTCATCATTTCTGACATTTTGTAAAGGTCCTGGGATGGGAATGGAGCCAAGTGAGATTACATAGCATATGGTCCATGAAGTAGAACAGAATCTTGCTATTTTGTTCAAGCACATGATGGAAAGTTAACGATTGAAGGGATATCTTAAAGAGAGACATATGGGATCATTAGGACTGAATGCCGTTTTTGTTCTGGTCAGTTAAATGCATCCTATCAGAGCATTATTTTTAATACCAGATACATGAATACGTAAGTCAAGATAGCCAGACTAGTTTATGTCCTAAATGATGATTAAGAAGCCCTTTACATGCATTAGCTTTGGAATTCTGACTTAATAAGAGTCAATAAGAGAAATAAGAGTGACTCTTGATTTCCCCCCCATTGTGACTCTTTCCCTTAGCATATTCCCATGTGGTAGAGAACACTGCTTTTTTTGGCGACGTGGTCCTGCGCTTTCCCAAAATAGTGCACCATTACTTTGATCGCAACTCCAACTGGAACAATCTAATCCGCTGGGGGATCAGTTTCTGCAATCAGACAGGTGTATTTGACCAAGGTCCTCATTCACAAGTACTTGGACTGGTAAGGCAATGGTTTTTGGCTGCTCTCATTTCCTTTGTTTCTCCAGGCTGCATCATAGGCAGGGAAAATGGGGTAAAAGATTAGTAAGTACGTGGAAAATGTACTTGTATAGGATGCAGCATGAAGCTTGTGGCTTCTGGTGCTAGCAATCAGAAGGTGCTGCCTGCCTGTTCCATCTTTTTACCTTTAATGGATTTTCTGTAGTAAGGAAAAAGATGGAAGAAACAGTACAAAAACACAGGAGGGTCACAAGTAGAAGATGATGTTGTTTGGACCTTCTGTAAACTTCCACACACGAGGAACCACCCATAAATGAATATCTGTATCTTAATACACAGTTAACCACTGGCAAGCTGTGAGTGACTGTTACTTCCCAAAATAAGTGTAAGGCAATGCAAGAAATCAGCAATTAAATTACGTTTGTGTTTTGGTGGGATCCACAGCTGAATTATGCAAGGGTCACATACTCATTTCTCCAAGGAAGACTTTTTCTTGTAGAGTTCTGTGATTGTAACAATGCTTGCTGAACAGCACAGCATGTATGCACACTCTTGCATCTGTCAAGTTTGCCCTTTTAAGCTACTCAACACTGTGGTGCAGCCTATGCCAACCCTTTGCAGAGCTGTCAAGTGAGCTGTAGAATCAGTGGCTCAGCACAAAAGGCACATGGAGAGGACCTCTTGCAATGTGGTACTTGCACTTGTTTTTGTGGATAGTTCTTTTCCCCATTTGTGTGGGGGACTTTTAGTGCAAAATCTATTGGCGACTGGTAAGAAGGGGATAGAAGGAAGGTAATCATACTGATATGAGCTGATCTTCACCATTTTGGTATACTTTTTCCTGCAGATGGCTCAAGAGCTGGGAATTAGCGAGAGATCCCCAGACTACCGGAATCCCTTTAAAACAGACAATTCTGAAGTAAGAGAATAAAATCATGAGACTACCTGTTTTTCCTCTTTGTCTGGCAGCTTTCTTGGGAATGGTAAAGGAAGAAATTGGCAGTGCTATATGTTAACAAATGCCTAGTTAATTCTTAAGAGTCACTAATTATAACAGCAGCTTTGCCCCACCCCTACCTCCCACTTGAGACTGGAGAACATCTTCCCATTTGGGGGTCCTGAACAGCCAGCGAAATGCATGCTTGTCTCCATGTTGAGTTGGTAGTGTGGAATGTTACCTCCATAGGGAACTTGCAAAGGGAACTTGGTACTTATGAAAGTTCCCTTTGCAATCTGTACAGGTCCCCCTTGGGTTCACAGCTGATCCCTGGAAGCAACTTGCATGTTCAGCAAACAGAATTGCGCATTATTACAAGCTGCTTTCAGTGGATCAGTGCTTGGTGTAGTGTGCTGCATTTTGGCGGAGGCAAGTGCCAATGCCCCTCTCTGTGTTAATTATTTGGACCCACTTAGCAACACTTGCAGAGCAGTCAGAAAATGAAGAAACCAACAGTTTATTTATTTATTTTTCAATTTATATCCTGCCTTTTTCCTACAAAGGGTTCAAGGCAGCTTACATCATTCTCCTCCTCCATCTTATCCCCACAACAACAACCCTGTGAGGTAGGTTGGACTGAGAGTCTGTGACTGACCCAAAGTCACCCAGTTGGCTCCATGGCTGAGTGGGGACTAGAACCCAGATCGTCTGAGTCCCAGTCCCATGCTCTTAACCACTACCCCACACTCAGTCTCAGTTGCTTCAAAAGCTTTATATTTTCTACATGGAAAACATATACAGTGATTTTGCCATTGGAGAGATTTGGAAATAACAATCTAGCTTGGGCAGGGACACCTTTGCTTAGTCAGTGGTTCTTGCTAATGCAGACTTCCAAATAATATCACATAAATTATTATCCTGCAAAAATGTTTTTTGCCTACATATACCTATGTTCATGACTAAACATGTAAAAGAATGATAACACTTCAGACATTACCTGAGGTTATTCAGATTGCTCTATCACAGAATAAGGAGCTGACTGCTAAGTTGCTCTCAGTTCCAGAGGTGATTTGACACTGTCTTTCCATACAGATTCCATTTTTCCTTAGATCCCTCAATCGTGTTTCAGTTGAGGGGAGCAAAACAGTCACTAGGGAGTGATGCAGCATGACTTTTTTCCACTCCTCTCTTCTAGACCCTTATGTGGGCAAAGGATAACATGCTACTGAAGGTTGTATGAACATTATTTATCTATCTGTTGATGGATAGACAGACAGACACACCTTTAGTCCGCTGTTTTGGGAAATTGCTTGCTCTCTATCTTAGTGAGCTTCAATTCATATAGGGAATTCAGGGAGCCTATGGGAAAAAAGTGTAATATCTTGCCTTGGTCTAATATTGGATTTGCATTTTGTCATCAGTGGAAAGACAAAGTTATGAACCTGGTGTAAGAGCAGTAGGAGGCTTACTAGGCTAGCTAACTATGAAGCTTGTGCAGAGCAGTGAGATGACCTGCCCTTTCTGTCCACATAGCCGCACTCATCCTGTTTGGTGTCAGTTTTTCCCCACTGCAGACACGTTCCAGAAGGCTCTTCGGGAGGAGGAGAAGCGAAGGAAGAAAGAGGAGAAGCGGAAGGAAATCCGCAAGGGGCCTCGCATCTCACGTTCACAGTCCGAGTTGTAATGCGGCTGCCACCCTCCCTGTCACTGTGACTTGTGCTGGTGGGAGCTGAAGCAGCTGGAAAGGAACATCCCGCTCCCTTGGTGACCTCAGGAAAATGCTAGGATGTCGATGTTCCATCTGTTCGGTTTTGGAGGTTTATTTTCTTTTTTCAATGGGACCTTGGCAACTACTGGATTGAGCCATGGGAATCACTGCAATCATGGTCTTTAAGCACATCTTTCCTTGTGTGAAGACTTTTCTGAGTCCCTGGAATGTATAGAGTTTCTCGGAGACGATTCTTTGTGTCTCTGTGTATTTTTGTTTCCTGTGGCTTAGCTACTTTACAATGCGAAGAGTGCTTTGGGGTCGAGGGAGGAAAAAAAAATCTCTAGCAAGGGTTTTTTCCCCCTTTATTTGAAGGAGCGCTCCTCTTGGTTGTTTTCTTCTTGTCAAAGTTTTCTTCATTCCAGGAGGCTATTAAATCATTGAAGGCCATGCACACTGAGGGAGCACCTGCATTCAGGCAAGGGAGTATAACACTGAGGTATAGCAGTTTCAGTCTGTGGACCTCTTTGAGCTGACTTTGTAAGCACTGGCTCTTGATGCAGCTGCTAATAGTCAAAACTTGTCACAAACATTGTTATCTCCATGGCACAGTGAGAGGTTTACTGAAAAGGACACAGAAGGATTTTTCATTTCACTCATGGAGAAGGGAGCTCATTTGTTCTCTAGATGAGGCACTAAAAGAGCCAGAGAGTATTAGTTATGTAAATTTTCATGTACATTCTTTCGGCGACTGTTGCTCACTGACTAAGGAATGAAACTGCTGTGTCTGTGATGGCTGCTTTTTGCTTTCCAGTAGATTGCCTTCCTTCACTTTATGGTAACTTTGATATTTGGGTAGTGACCTTTGTTTTGAAATATCAAGATGTGATACCAATTTGCCATGGCTGTAACGCTGAGGGAAAGCAGAATTTGACAGTGTGATTTTGTTCTCATTTCTTTCTCCTCTTACTGTTAGATTAAGACACCTACCAGTTGTGTGTTCATCATGTAAGGAAGGGCATCTTTTTCCTAGTCTACTGCCTTATTGCTCCAGGAACAAGCTGCCTTTTCCTTGAACTTTTCAAGCATTCCACAGAGGCTTGTACCTGGAGCTAAGTTCATTTCAAATTCCAACTCTGCCATTGATTTTATAGTACAGATCAGCTGTCCTTGGCTGAATTGTGGATTCACAAATTGATTCGCACACAGGCACACTGTGGATATGTGCCCTAAGACTACTATGATGTTTGGCACAATGGATAGATTTTGTTCCAGTCTGGGATTGATTCACACCAGCAGAACTTTCTGAATTCAGATAACAAGTATTGTACTTTCCCTAGCTCCAATGGCCCCTCACTGTCAGGAATAGCACTAGAATTTGGTATACCTGTTGCATCTGTCAAAGCTGGTTTGGGATCTAGATTTCCTTTTCAGCCCATGACTGAATTGCACTACTCTAAAATGTAGCTTGCTCTTGCCATAGGAAGATTATTCTATGGGGAAGGAAGGTTTCTTCCAGGGGACATTGCAGTTTGCAGAGATGGAGATGACTTTTATTTTCTAAACAGAGAGCCAGTTATGCTTGATTTCTTTTTGGATATGTATCTAAACTGGAAATTGACTTTGTTTTTCTTGAATAAAACTGAAAGTTTTGAAAAAAAAAGTCCAATATCTGTCACTTAATTGTGAACCATTTGAGTGTGTTTCAGGTATGTGGGAGATGCCTTTGAAGATTGACAGTATTATCAGCTAGAAGCTTGGCATAGCAGAGGCCAGGTAGAAATTGCTTCTCACTGCAGCTGGACATTTAGAGAGGAGATACCTCACATAGATATATGACCTGCAGTAAAATTATAAGCAACTGCATAAAATAATTGCAGACTATAGCTGCAGTTCAGGTTACTTACAATGCATGTGTTTATACATTACTCATTTTGCTTCCCTAGCAGAAATGCACCTTTTTTTTAGAATAAGTTGGACTGTTCTGTAGCTTGCAGGATGTATAAAGGAAGCCATTCTTTGGTAATGATTCTAACAAAGAGCACACAGCTCAAAATGCACACAAAATTCATCTGGGGCTATACATTCTTCAAAGAACCTGTAGCTTTTGATTTTCCTTAAGCATATTTTGTGTGTGGCAGTAACTGGCCATATGTTCTTGGTTTGTAGTAGTAGTCACTTTACCATAGACAACAGCTGCATATTCACTTTCGTTAGGGATGTATGAGAATTTAGGTTTTGCTTTTGCTCACAAAACATGCAAGCGTGCCCCATTCAAAGCTCTGAATGTGAATGTAAGCACAAGGAAATATCTGCTGAAAGTATTTGCTAATTGTCAAATCTGTACTAATTTTTACCTTGTTCTTAATCACTGGTTCTTTATGCACAAAACTCATAATTTACACAAATTTCAACAGCAGACTGAATCAGCTCTGTGTTAATCTATGAAGAAAATTATTGCAGATGTGGGGAGATTTGTGGAAATCTTCTATTCAATTGCTGCTGCTCAGTGTGCACAAGTTGGTCCTGTTCACATGAAGCTGCCACTAACCACAAGCATGAAGGGGAAGCAAGCACAAGATGAGCAGTGGAGCAGTGCTCATGGAATCCTGAACACCATTTCTTTGTCTGTTCCTAACTTTCATACAATTTTTGAGACATGACTACTTGAAAGGGCTGCAATTTACATGGTAAATCTTTTCCAATATATGGTACAAATCTCTGCTTCCTGCCCCCCCTCCCCCCCTCCCTCACACACACACACATCTTTGAGCACAGATTCTTTATTGCTTTTACAGCCACTTGTACCCAGGGATGGGCTAGTTGGGTGAGGAAAGAGCAGCCTGTTAGCAAAAACTTGGAGAGAAAATAATCCACCAAGGAGCAATTTCCAACAAGTATTTTGGGACACTCTAGAAGTCTTGCAATTGGAGAAGCTGTAAAAATTGCCGTGGCAGATGTGCTTTCCTTGGTATTGCCACCTTGCATTTTGCTAAATTGTGTTGGGTTGATTGCTCCTTTGCTCCTTTGAGCAATCAACTACTCTGCATTAAGGTTTCTGGCAAGCTGGATGCTTTCCCCTCATCATTATCAGCAGGAAATCCAGTCTCTGTTTTTAGTTTGTAATATTGTCTGCCTGATGTTACGTCCAGTCACATCCTACTAGTATTTTCACACACTGAGAATGCAATCCGATGGCTGCTAGATGGTGTCTAGACAGCCATAAGAAAAAGGAGATAGAACTCTGAGCTTGGAGAGTCTTCAGTTGCAGCTGGCATGGTCTTTTCCATTACAGCTGGGTCTTTGAGGATAGAAGATCAACTCCACAGTCAGTACTTTGTGACAATACCAGGAGCAGAGAAGTGAGGCTCTGTTAGGATCTGCGCATTTCAACAGGGCCTCAAGCTTCTTAGATGGAGGGGCCAAGCATTTCCATCATCAGAATTGGCCACTGAAGTTCTTTGTGGGGTGGGGGGAGTGCAGAAGGGATCTTCACCTCCATGCTTTTTCTGTCCTCGATAGGATGCCCATAATCTCCTGAGCTGAGACAATTGCAAGCAGCTGCATTGGATTGTGCTGCCTGTTCCTCATAGCACAACCAAGTTTAGTTGCTATATTCTGACTGGGTGTTTCCATCAGTAGAAAATGCAAGAATGTATATCAATAATATAAGCAAACCAAGCTATTATTTTGATAGGGATATCATATATTTGGGTGGTGATCAATATTCCACTGCACCCAACAATTATTCCACATTGTTCATAGGTCTCTGAAATTAACAATGTCCACTGAATTTTCCGTATTCTGTTGTCTCAGTAAAACTTATACATTAGGTCCAAGCTGGAAGAAAACTACTTAACTGAGTATGCTTTGGTATGTATAGCTATTAACATCACTTCCAGAAGTCACATCTGAGAATGATAATAACTTTCCATCCATCACTTCCAATTTCTGTTCAAACTTGTTGGCAGGCTTTGTGAAATCCACTAGAATATAGCACTGTTTGGTTGGATAATTGATACAAAATTGTGAAAGTAGGCTGGAAGAAATGTGTGAAGTATTAATCCTGGATACCTGTTTTTCTGGAATTCCATGTTAACTCTCTCGGATCAGGAAGGACAGTGTAGAAGCTATTTTCATGGTGATATGCCTTACGCAAAAGAGACCTTGTAGAAACAGTCATGGATCTGCAAGGATAGGGCATGCATTGTGTAATGTTTGAAGTGTTTGCACACAGGAAAAAAATGGTGTATGGCAGACCTTGGACTAAAGATATGACATGTTGATATGCAGATATGAACAGCTGAAAGATATGATAATGGTAATACAATGTGATACTTTCAATGAGAGCTTAGATCAAAATCAGTCTTGAGGAAAAATGGAAATGGGGAAAGACTGGACTTGATGAAACGTATCTTGCTTAAGATGCTCCTTTATTAATATTGCTGGAAAGTGACAAGTGACTCACAACTGGTATAATGTGGAGGCGGGTGGATGATGTGGAGAGGTGGATAGTTAGCATCTGATGTGAAAGGATTTTTCAGGGAAAAGTACAGAAAACCTTCCTCACTCTTCTCACTAGTTGTACTAGTGGGCAAGCAGTCACAAGAACAGGAACATGTGTGAATGCCCAATCTCTACCCTTCCAATAAAAGGTCCAGCCAGTATGATGAGATGCACCTTTAGATCAGCATTCAGATGCACATCTGTAAATCAGATGGAAGGCTCTTCTTTGCATGTTGGCATCTCTTACTTGATAACAGGGCATCAAGACAGTAAAGCTTTGCATTTTCGAATCATACAGATCCCTTGTGTGGAATGCTGTAAGAAGTCATTTAATACATTAGTCCAGAAAGGATAGCATCTCAGAATAAAATTGTAAGGGAGTTGCTTTTGTTACTTATGCGATCAGCTGGTTTGAGGAACATTCCTGGTGTAAATAGTGTACTGGTAGAGCTTGCTTGTTGGGCACTGGAGTTACTTTCATGTGTTAAATAAGAGAGTGGTTATTTTTAAAGGAGAGCATGCTCGGCTAACTTGTATTTTTCTGCTTTAATAGTCTTTTAAAAAGTGAAAGTTTTTGGACTGTAATGACTTACTACAGCATAATCTCTCCTTGTTTCATGAAGCAAAATACTAAAATGACAGGTGTTATCCTGTGATCCCTTTATTGTTGTTCTGATTATGATTTTATAACTTTACATACAGCTGACCGTACGTAAATAATGTCTTTAAGTGGCTATAGTTCTCTCTCGCTCTCGCTTTCTTTCAATTGATAGGTGAAAGTATTGTCCCTATCCAAGGCAGGATCAACTTCTGTCCGAAACTGTTGAATACAGTCATTGTGGCTACATCACCAAGCCAGCTTCGGTTTTTTTCTCATTTTGCTTAATAACCAACCAGCTGGAGAATCTGAAAGTCTGCTCGCTCCCTAGTATCATTTGTTTTGTCCCGATAAAGATATTGGTCAATACCTTCGCATGGCTTTTTTTGCTTCTCGTGTGATGGCTTTCACGATGTCCACTAGCAAAGCGGTCCCGTTGTACGCGCAAGCGGACTCGAGCGACCGGGGCCGCCCGCGACTTTAAAGTTTACACTTGAATCGCTCAGAAGCTTCCTGCCTGCTTATGCATATTCAAACCGGGGCGGTGGAGCGGCAGGCAGGGAGGGGATTGCCCGGCATCCAAATGAAAGCTGCTGATCGCTGACGCGCCATCACACCACGAGCCGCTCTGCCCGCTCATTGGCCGGCGGGGACCTGGCCTCATTGACAACAAACCCACGGACAGCGCCGCCCGCTGAGGTTTCCGACAGGTGGATGGGCGGAGTACGCGCGGGGCTAGCCCAAGATGGCGCCGCTTGGGGCCCGGAGCCTGAGCTGAGGGAGCGCCGGCAGGCTGGGGAAGGGTTAATGCGCTGGGTGTTGCCGCCGTTCCCTCGCACGAGCTGAGCTGCTCGGGTTGGTGCTGGGCCGGGCGCGCCTAGCCGGCAATGGAGAGTAACGGCGAGCTGAGCAGCATGGAGACCATGGAGACCCTGACGGAGCTCGGCGACGAGCTCACGCTGGGCGACATTGACGGTGAGTGCCGCGCGCAGGGCTGGCGCTCGGCTGCGCCCACCAGCGCCCCCCTCAGAAAGAGGAGCCGCGCCGCGAAGGGAAGGCGCTGCTAGGCACGGAGGTTCCTGGCTTGGCCTGCAGTAGAGCGGCGAAGGCGCCGCGAGTTCTTTGGCATCGGAGAAGATACTGCCTCAGCTGTGCCACTCGTCCCCTACTCGCCGGTGGGCCACCTGAGAGCCTGGAATCTTTTCAGTGCGATGCAGTCGGCAGGTGTGGCGACACCAAAGTTCTCAGGCTCTCTCAGGCTCTCTCCCTCCCCGAAATTCACGATACCGAATTGGGCTGGGATGTCTTTCTAGAGAATACACAGTAGACTTAAAGCACAAGCCTTAGGCATACTTGCCTGAGAGTAAGTTGTAAACCCTGCTGTATATGTGCTAGAATTGCAGTGCATCGCATACACACTTACTTAGGAGTACGTCTGGTTGGATTTAGTGGGCCTTCCTTCTGAATAGACATGCCCAGGATTGCATTGTTCCATCTCTTCCAGCCCAAAACAGCTCAAAGTATACGGAATGTTTTCTGTAGTCGGAGTACATCGTTTAGGATGTGATGTAGGTATCCTGGTGCGTGTGTGTTATAGAATGTCTGCTAATATTCCAGAAGTTGTGATAATACCCTACTCAGTTGCATTACTTGGCAGGTGATATTTGCCATCTGTGCAAAACTTTAATATATCCATGTACTTTGTGGCAGAAGGAAGTAGTGTGAATGTGAACATGCATGTGAGTGGGTAGTTGGGTTGGATAGTGTTAAAAAGGAAGTCATAGTGAGATACATTATTTTCTGGAAGGCTCTCATTTGGGAGTAGGGCTTATGCAGTGTATGAGACGTTATTTTGGCCATATGTCACCCATAGAATCGAGCCTTTCCTTACTTTGTTGTAGTACGTGTGTGGCATGGGAGGTAGATTTATTTTCAACCTGGCTGCACTTGCTGCTAGCTGTTCATAAATTGGGGAGTCAGCATAATGTCAGAAGATGCTATTTGGCACCCTTATTTTAAATTGTTTTTCTTAGGAAAAAACCCCACTGAAGTATGGGATGAATAATGTGGTCTACCATAAAGATGCAGATTTGTAGCCCAATACACCAGTCAGGAAATAACTTCAAAATGCTGTAGCCAGATTTATATGTTGGAGTTTTAGTATTAAAAAGTGTACAACAAATGGAAATAAAAGAAGTGGAACCTGTTTTTTTTGGAGTTATGCCTGTTTTTCCTGCACTCTTAGGTTTGTACGCATGCTATTAATAAAGCTAAGGCATCTTTTCAGAAGTTTTAAAAAAGCATTCTTCCACAATCAAGACATCACAATTTTTCTGTAAACAGTTATCACCTTTGTTAAAAAATGCATAAAAGTCACCCCCTTCAGAAAAAGTCTGGTAAATGCAATATAGTCTGTCAGAAGTTTGTCCAGGCCCCAGTGCGTTCCAATCAGAAATCATAACAAAGTTCTAGCCCTCTTTGCTTGAACTTAAAAAGAGTTATTATCTGTTTAGACATTTTGCCAAGGAAGAGACTAGGAGTGAGAAGATCAAAATCACGTCCAGTTGACTAACTTTAGATTTCTATTCATCAATTACTCTGTCTTTTCTGAGAAATACCTTAATAGTGCAGCTAGCAAAGTTTTTATACATAATCTTAGAAGTATCTGTGCTGTCTTTTCCTGCTATTACTGTGTATTTGTGGTGGGATATAGTCTGTTTCTGCGACTTGCTTTTGGTAGGATATCAATACAAATGCTAGTTGTATTTCATTTTTATGAGAAGGTAGTTTTCTTTGGTATTTTTAAACTGAGCAGTCTGGAGTGTTTACTAAGAATGTATTCAAAGCTGTTGGACTACACATTTTGTAGAATATGTGGGGGAAAACTGTTATACTATACAGTACTTATACTGTTTACAACTACCTAGCTTTTTTTTATTTGTACATGATGATATTTTCCACTATTTTGAGTGACATGTCACTGAAGAATAACTTGATAGATCAGTAGTCATTACCTGTCTCTTTTAAGTGATGCTTGCTCAAGTTCCCACATGGACTGCATCTCCCACAGGTTCACTATTGTTGTCTGTGCCAACTCTGTGGGCTGGCATAGACTTGATGTGCACTAAAGCATCCTGCACAGCAGGAAAGCTATGGCAAATCTAGACAGCATACTAAAAAGCAGAGACATCACCCTGCCAACAAAAGTGCGTATAGTCAAGGCTATGGTTTTCCCTGTTGCAATATATGGCTGTGAAAGCTGGACCATAAGGAAGGCTGAGCGCCAAAGGATTGAGGCCTTTGAATTGTGATGCTGGAGGAGACTCCTGCGAGTCCCTTGGACCGCAAGGCGATCAAACCGGTCAGTCCTAGAAGAGATCAACCCTGACTGCTCTTTAGAAGGCCAAATACTTTGAAGATGAAACTCAAATACTTTGGCCACCTAATGAGAAGGAAGGACTCCCTGGAGAAGAGCCTAATGTTGGGAACAATAGATGGCAAAAGGAAAAGGGGACGGCAGAGGATGAGGTGGCTAGATGGAGTCACTGAAGCAGTTGGTGTGAGCTTGTGTGGACTCCGGGGGATGGTGGAGGACAGGAAGGCCTGGAGGAATGTTGTCCATGGGGTCGCCATGGGTCGGACACGACTTCGCGACTAACAGTGACAACAACAACAAAAGCATCCTGCATATAAACTCCTGCAGACTGGAAGCAGATACTCCTTGTTCCTAGATTGAGAGCCAGATAGAGAAATTCTAACCTGATTGGCTACCTGTACTGGTACTCTCGAGTGCCGAAGAATTGAGGCCTTTGAATTGTGCTGGACTGCAAGGAGATCAAACCAGCTAGTCTTAGAGGAGATCAACCCTGACTGCTCTTTAAAAGGCCAGATACTGAAGATGAAACTCAAATACTTTGGCCACCTAATGAGAAGGAAGGACTCCCTGGAGAAGAGCCTAATGGTGGGAACGATTGACGGCAAAAGAAGAAGGGGATGGCAGAGGATGAGGTGGCTGGATGGAGTCACTGAGGCAGTTGGTGTGAGCTTGGGTGGACTCTGGGGGATGGTGGAGATAGGAGAGCCTGAAGGAATGTTGCCCATGGGGTCATGATGCATTGGGCACGACTTTGCAAATAACATAACATAACATAACTAGTCCTCTCAATCTTGGCTTCAGGTTCTTATGGATGGTATCCAGGCCTAGTCATTCTTCAAGTAGACCAATGGGGCTTAAATTAGTTATGGCTTACAATTTCTGTTCATTTCAGTTATTCTGCTCTAAGTATGACTAGGTCTGGATCTAGTCTTACAATCTGTTCAGCTCCCATACTTTAACTTTTTATACCTTAAGTTTTCCAGCAACATTTTAAAGAGAACTAAAAGTAGCTGTATGGCCGTTGGGGACATCAGTACGAAGTCCTTGCTGCCCCACCTTGTAAAAGCCAGTTCAGTTCCTTTTCCTTGGCCATTTTTAGCATCGCTCAAAATAATTTGTCAACATATTCCTGGATACTGTCCCTACTGTCGGGAAACATTGCCCAACATCTTTTTACTCAAACACTTCTTTCCTTGTTGTACCTACTTGCTGATTTCTAATGCTCTTACTATTTCTACAGTTCAGTTTATCTGTTTGTCCAGATGGGGAAAATTGTTTGTCAAAGAGAAAAAATGCTTTGTTTAAGAGAACTCTAAAATATCTGGATACTTGTAATTATTGAAAATGAATACTGGCTAACAGCAAGATGATAAAACAGATTTATTTTATATGTTCCAATTTATTAAATTGTAAGGATGATGAATTAGCATGAAACATTAGGTTGCATTACTGTTCTTTTATTATGTTTTGCTGGAGTTTATGATATGGGGAAAGTTGGTCATATAATAAGAAGCAGAAAGTTTGCCATTACTGTCTGGTAACATCAACAGTCCTTTTTATTAGCATTGCCAACCAAGAGTTTTACCAGCATTTTGTCTAAGAATACCCCAGTATAATTTTTATTTTCTCCAGATACTGCATATTAGAGTAGCTTTACCTTTTATATGATGAACAGGATTGCTGTGGATATACAGATATTACATGTAATGGACTGAATCCAAATTTGGTCATAGTTAGCATAGAAATCGTTGGAATCAATTGAAGTTAAGTTGACTAGCTTGATGGTAGATTTCAATGGGTGTTCTCTTAACTATGACTGTAATCCATATAACTGTCAAACCTGTATAGTTGTGTGTCTGCATTTTAGTATTGTGAACACATGTGTTGGAATCTTATTCAGACAAGGGTTACTTGCACGTTTGAAGATACAAGCACACCCATTTTTTTTTCTTTCATGTCTTGTGTTTAACTCTGATACACAGCAATTATATTTGCTGCAGAAAGTTTGGGATTGCCCTTTAGTCCTGTTACCTTACTGATGAGTCTCCACTTTTCAGTGCTTCCTGAGAGGTGTTGTTCCAAGTAAAATTGTGAACAACTTTGTGACTGACTCTACAAGGCTTCCAGTAATGGCCTTTTAGCACCTTTGGCAGCTCAGCCTCTGAGTGCCTGCCCTTTGGCACTGTGTATTCCATTCTGGTAAGAACATATTGCCATCAGTTCAGCTTTCATGGTGTAGTGCCTTGTTAGCACATAACATGCCTGAATGGTGATTCTGTTCTATATACCTTTAGCCCATCCATTTGTCTTGGAAAGAAATGGATGCCCCCAACAAGAGTTCATTAGTGGAAGTGTTGAATTTATGGAAAATAAATGTCTGTTCTTTAAGAAATCCAGCTGGAATGTTGAAGCTGTTTTCAGTGTAGTGTAGCTGTTGAGGAAAGAGATGAATAAACTAGAAGAATTTGTGAGATGTATGATGAAACTCAGACATGAAAAAATATTTCAGATTCATAGGACACATCAAATTTTAAAGCACAAATCTCTGTTCTTAGCTGAAAAAATGATTGCATTCCTTGTGTGCATATCAGATCCTGGT